TTAGTTTTTGACACTTTCGGTCCAGTAGATGACCAAAATTGTCCAAGAGTTGTTTGGTTTTTAGATTTTGCTGAATTATCTATTTTCTTCATTTTTCTAAATATTATATTGAACAACTATAGGATATGTTTATCTTATCTAATCTTTATCAATATAGTTTCAATGCTAAGTAATTGGAATGTAATTATTCATAATTAAAACAAAATGGCGCAATGAAATTTTCCGAAGTAAATGAACATTTTCTATTTGAAATGAATCTGACAATTCGTTTTTTTTTCTTTCTGTTCGATCTGTTTATTGATAGGATTGTTTGTAAAGACCAATGAAGATCGGTCCGGAAAATGTTACGTTTGGCTGATTTGTGAACTAGTACCCTCTATCTTTTGAGAAGAATATGTTTGTGCATGAATGACTACATAAGTAGGTAAAATGAGCATACATATTTCAACAAAAATACTGAATAAGATTAAAAAAATGATGCATATTTTCAGAATATTTCTTTAATATTCACTCAAATATTTGTCTAGAGTAAAATAGTATTGCTTTTTTTCGATGAAACATGCGATGTTTTCATCTATAATAATAATACATGGTTATGTAACCATACTATTTTCTTTCGTTTATCTCTCGATTCTTTGTTATTGTACTAGGCATTCATCAAACAGCATATACATATCGTGTGGATATGCAAACGAGTATTATTCTATTCATATATACACAACGGACATATGCAGTTTATGATGGCAACTCTATGTTTCTTGTTGATAGCTAGTTTTCAACTAGCATTTAGTAATCCATTATCACAAGTTTTTGGTGCACTGAATATTGAAACACCCTCATATGATATTGTAATGAAAGGTGCTAACTATGAAGTACGTCGTTATCATTCACAATTATGGGCACAAATTGATTTTACTGTTGATCCGTCAACTGATTTCGGTAATAAAATGTCTATTGGATTTCAACCACTTTTTCAATATATAACAGGCAAAAATGCAGCCGGACAAAAAATTCCAATGACTGCGCCAGTCATTATGCAACGACTAGATTCAGAATATGGCCGTAGACGTATGTCGTTTATCATGTCACCAAGCAAATTTTCAACACTTGATCAATTACCTAAACCAATAAATGTTAATGTAAAACTTGTGGCTGTTACTGATCCAGTAGTGTTAGCTTGTATTAGATTTAATATGGGTCTTACAAGCAAACGAGTTGGTGAAAGAGAAAAAGAACTTCGAAAAGCAACTGCAAACGATCGTATTCAATTAGTTAATGAACGAGCATTAGTTCGTGTTGCTAGTTATAATCCACCTTGGACATTACCTTGGTTTCGCACAAATGATATTTGTATACCTCTTGTCAATCAAGCTTAATTTTAAAAATCATGAAAATACTCTTTTTTTTCTTGTTAGATATCTATATATCATAAATAAACACCAATACACTATTGTAGTTAAAAAATTATTTTATTCTATTCAATAGAGCTACAAGAGCGAGAAAGCATCATTGTACATACATCGCCGTCTTTCGGAAGAAAAAGAGGTACGTCATTGCCTTCGAGTTGGTCGAAGGAAAAGACGAATCAATATTGATTACTTGATAAACAAGAGTAAAAAACAAATTTATTGATTATTCAAATCTTTTCTTAGTATCTCATGTGGTCTAAATTTGTTCGTCATTTTTCAACTTCACCTTTAACTCGTGTACGTCATCCTAAATTACGGCGTGCTCCACATTATGCTACGTTGACTGATAGAGATATAAGTTTTTTTGAGCGACTTCTTCCAGACGGACGTGCAATCACAGATCCAGATGATTGTTCACCATATAATATAGATTGGATAAAAACATGTCAAGGGCAATCTCAATTGGTTTTAAGACCAAAAACTGTTGATGAAATTCAAGCAATCCTTCGTTATTGTCATGAACATCAATTAGCTGTATGTCCACAAGGTGGTAATACTGGTCTTGCTGGAGGATCAGTACCAGTTTTTGATGAAATCGTATTATCACTACGTTCACTAAATTCTATTGGTGCTTTTGATGAAAATAGTGGTGTTTTAATTGCTGACGCTGGTTGCATATTACAAACATTAGATGTTCATGTGAATCAATTTGGACACACAATGCCATTAGATTTAGGTGCAAAAGGTTCATGTTTAATTGGTGGTAATGTTGCAACGAACGCTGGTGGAATACGTGTTGTACGTTATGGCTCTCTTCGTTCAGCTGTACTTGGTTTAGAGATTGTTTTAGCTGATGGTAGTCTACTTGATTGTTTAACATCATTACGAAAAGATAATACTGGTGTTGATATGAAACAAGCTTTTATTGGTTCTGAAGGTATTTTAGGTTTAATAACACGTGTTGCATTAGCATGTCCATCAGCAATGTCAGGTGTTGGTCTTGGATTGTTTTCTTGTACATCATTTGAAAACATTCTTTCAACAATGAGATTAGCCAGAAAACTTTGCGGTGAAACATTATCAGCCATTGAATTTTTAGATTCATCAACATATAATTTATCATTGAAAAATTTACAACAAACAAATAAACCTGTAGAACCGAATAATTTTTATATATTAGTTGAAACAATGAGTTCAACATATGAACAAGCAAAAGCAACATTAGATAAGTTAGCTAATACAGCACTTGAAAAAGAATTTATTACCGATGGAACACTTGCACAAGATCTTAAACAATATAAAGATTTATGGGCTATACGTGAACGTGTACCAGAAGCACTTGTTGCTGATGGTTATGTATTTAAATATGATTTTTCTTTACCACCAGCTCGAATGTATAAATTAGTTGAAGAAACACAAAAACGCATGAAACCATTTTCAAATGTTCGAAATGTTACAGGTTTTGGACATTTAGGCGATCAAAATCTTCACTTGAATATAACTGTTCAAAATGGTTACTCAGATGAAATTAAACATGCACTTGAACCATGGTTATATGAATGGGTTGCTAAAGAACGTGGTTCTATATCAGCTGAACATGGTCTAGGTTTACATAAATCAAAATATCTTGAATTGAATAAGGGCAAACAATCATTAGAATTAATGAAAAAAATGAAAAATATATTCGATCCGAAATGTATACTAAATCCTTATAAAGTATTACCTTACAAAATAGATTAGATTTCTCTTATTTTTCTTTTTTAATTCGATGAAATATACAAAAACATATTGATAGATAAATTTTTATGGTTAAATATTGAAATAAAGTCTATCGTTCCTTTTTTTTAAATTAAACTAATTGATTTTAACACAAACAGTTTAAAAAATATATATTATCTTTGGATAATGCCTCGAACGATAAGCAAGCTACTCAACAAGTTATATCAGTACATTATCATTCTCAATACAGTTACCATGTGATGTCCTAGTAGAAAGGGAATAATACTGACGTCTATGTTTTCTTTCATTATGTGACAATGGAATATAAACCCAGTAGACGTGTAAGCATATGATTAGGAGTTCTAATAAGCAAAATTAGATGATGAAAACAACAAATATATTACAAGAAGTACTCAAAGTAGACATTTGAAGTATCTATTATCTCATTTGATGATATAAAGAACAGTGATATCAAAAGTAGCTCTTCATACCATCGCTACTACTAGAGAAAAACAAAAACATGAAGTTTTTTTCTCTGCAGAGATATATAGTTAAGTTTTGATTAATTCTTAACATCATCGATTAATTTTTAAAATTACATGAAATTATCTATCAATATTTATTGTGCAAATAAAATAGACTATTGAAGTGAATATTTGTTTTTCTATAAATTCCCAAATTATAAAAACTCTAATAATGGCAATTTACTTGTTGTGTATTCAAAAAAAAAAGTGAGTACACAATAGAATCGGTCAGTGTGTCCGGTCGGCCGTTTACACGATAACTCTTGAAAGGCTGATCAGATTGTCATGAAATTTTGTACACAACATTATCTCATCAATATCTCGGTCGAGTTCGAGGATGAAAATAATTCGTAGAGGATTTACTGAGTTACAGCAAGAAATATCATTATTTTCTATGTAAATATTGACCTATTTCAATTTTCGCAAATCAAAATCTTTGTCATAGTAAAAATGAAAACTCAACTATTATATACCATTCGATAAAGAATTTCATGGGCTACAAAATGATGCTAAATCATAGGGATAAATATGCTGCGTTTGAAATTTTCTCAATACCTCAGTGTCAAAAAACTATGAAAAACTCACGTATACCGACACTTTGTCTGTATAATGTGTTTATTTCCCATAGAACTAACGTTATTGTTATGAAGTATATAGAACTTGTCAAGAGCTCTAAATGATGATATATTATAGAGGTAAATATGGCGCATTTAATGTTTCCTCAATATTGCACTTCCTAAAAACTATGAAAAACTGATGCATACTGACACTGCTGGTCGACTCTTTCAGACAGTTTGATCAAAATCAATCTGTCGGTAAGTATGTTTCATTTTTTGTGTACTCAAAAAGTGAGTACACTAGAATCGGCCAGTGTGTCCGGTTGGCCGTAGGCACGATAACTTTCGAAAGGAGAGTTAGATCGTGATGAAATTTCCCACACAGTTCAATCTCAGGAATATCTCGGTTGAGTTCGAAGATGAGAAGGATCCGTCAAGTAATGGCTAAATTATCGAAAAAATTGTCATTTTTGACCAGACCATCCCTGAGGAGGAGTACAGGGAATTTTTTTCAAAAAATAAATCTTTCTCAGAATTATTCACAACATATATAAATCGACTCAGTTTTTAGCGCTGATTCCGAATCTGATATTAGTTTTGAACTAAATCGTAGCTTTCTAACGAAACATCGCCTGAAAAACGTCTCAAAATGCACAAAAACTGCATCCAGAAATCAAATTGCCTAGTTTCTCATGATAACTTTGGTGTTCAGACATTCTAGAATGACTCATATGCCCCATGCACTTTTTGCAGTACACATAACTCTCGGATGAAATCCGAAGTTTCCACATTTTTTTAACAGTTACTTCGACATAATTATAAATGATTAATGAAAGGTCAGATGTATACATACTGAATCGCATTTTCAACTTTATCAAAATATCGACCTGACACAGATAAGATTTGATTTAATGCCATTGAATTAGTATAAATGATGTAAATCTAAGCGCTTAATTTTCTTTTCATTGACATGTTGTACTGCTATGTACATAACTCAAATAAGATGATCTATACAAGTAGTAATTAATAAATGACTTATTTTCGTATGTATTCCAATTAAGAACAATGCCATAAAAGCTAAAATATCACAGAGAACAGAGAAAGAACAAAATGAAAACGCCAAGTTACGCAACAACATTTGAACATGTTGGTCCTATAGGTAAATCATATGAACGCGATCGTTTTCCATGACTAATTGAATTAACCAATGGAGAATTTTGATGATGTATAAATGGCATTAATAAAAGATAATTGTCTGATCTCCATGTTGTGGGTAAAAGTGATGAATAAATTGAAATAGCATCAGTACAGGATGGACGAGAAAATCCAGTAGCATGTCTCTCTTTATACAATTGAAGTTCTGAATCAATTGAACCTGTTGATGTGGATAATGAATTTTGTTGAAAACGAGGTAATATTGAATAACGATCTAATTCGGTATCATAACAGTTTAGGATATCATTATCAATTAATTTTGTCTGTTGACTAATCAACATTAAATGATCACACGACTGTAATTTTCGATTATCATCAGTGAATAACTCATGCATATTTGGACACGAATGAATAATTCCACCGGCAGTAAGAAAAAATTCATCATCATTCGTAGGTTCATCGTCATAGGTTTCTCTACCGAATATACATGGTGTCAATGGTCGAATTAGATAAGAAAATCGAGATGTTGTTTGAGTTGATGCTCGTAGTGGAGGTGGTGGGGATAAGGATAATCTTTCGATACTATTCGTATTTGTATTGAGCATTTTAATATTAGTTGGAGTCGCAGCTGTTGTTTTACTAGCCGAATAACATTGGTGAATTGTCAAGGATGAATGACAGTTCGCAGCAGACGACGAGGATGATGTTGATGACAACGACGATACTGGCCCTTTTTTGACATGTCTAACAATAATAATGTAGTATTTCTCTTTTTTCTATCTTACCTCTGTACAAATGTCCACTTGTCTTGTTATTGCCATTAGCCACATGACGTATCATATCATCTTGATGAGAGGAAATTTTCGAATCGTCTAGTATGTCTTCTGGCATCAGATGACGAAAAAACCGTTTCTATAAAAATTGATACAAAATAAATTCTATTCGATCACTTTCTCTGATTACTGTTTACGTCTAATACTAACTATAAATATGATATAAATAATCATGCAGCCGCATCTGCTCGTAGTTTATACCTCTAATTCATGGTACACTACTTATATTTATTTCTTTAAAATATATATTCAAGTATTGTACATTACATATAAATTTATACAACTATGACTAAAAGAGAGAAATAAAAAGGAGTTTCTCTCTGAATTTATTCATCTGCGTCAAACCTAAATGCAATTTGCTTTCTTTTTCGAATGGTAAGAATAACTTGACATTCAAAAAAAAGAAGAAAAAACGCAAAGAATCGGCTGTTGATCGGATATTATAAAATGGCATTGTACATCTGCTGCATGTGAGTAGTTATAAACTTGGAACCTTACATAGAATGGAAGCGAAAAAGAGAAACAAAAAAAGGCAGTTATATATATATATGTATGGGTATGTGTATCCATTGAGATACGAAAAAGAACTTGACCTCGGATAAAGATAAATGCCTACAATTTTGTTTTCTTTTTTATGTAAGGCTAAAACGATCCACCATTCTTGACATATACAACATACTTGGTCGTACGAGGTAAAAGTGGGTGGATAGAACGACAATCTGAGACGGTTAAAATCCATTTGACTTTGAGATAAATGCACTTTTGATTGTTTTATGGTAGGAGTTGCCATCGTCGATGTATTAGAATACGATAGATCTTTAGCCATGCATGATATTGGTTGTCGGGAACATAATGCAAATGTATTAAAAAATTTACAAATTGTTTGCGAAAATCCATTTCGAAAATAAGTTTTCTTATTTTTTTTATGATAAAATCAAAAGAGCATAATGTGAAACTAATACATATGTAATTATAAACATAGCAATAACGAACATAATGATGTGTTAAAAATCAAAACAAAAAGAAAATCGAAGAAAACAGCTCTGTTATTCTTCTATTAAAGACATTTGTTAACCATATATATGCCTCGTGTCATTAGTATTTATTCTCTTATTTACATGAGCCAACTTATTTTCGTTGTTTATTATCTGTATTAGAACTATCTGGAATTATCTTGCATCAAATTGGATAGTATTACGTATTCCAAATTAAAGGATAAAATAGAAAAAAAAATTTTTTTTTTCTCTTCAAGATCAATATTTCTATGTTGACACATGTATGACATCATAGGTCTCTAATAAAATGTATAATTATGTCTTTTCTGTTCCAGAATATTGGATGGATTCGAAAGGATAATAGGATAATATCAACTAATAATGACAATCGTCGTTTATGTAACGATTATCTAATTGATTGTATGCCTATAATAAGAAGAATTCTATCTTGAAATATCAAATCTATTTTCTAATTGTGTATTTTTGATTCGAAAATACAATTATGAAATCTAATAAATCAATGTATTGGTTTTAAAATACTAAAAGACAAAACAAAAGACAGTAGATGTCTTTGAAAGAGGTAGACAATTTCGAATGAAAGTTTAAATATTGTCACATTAATGTTTTATTTTGACATTAATCTATTGTGTTCCATATGTGCAGCTATCGATATGATTGAAAGATTCAGATGTTCACTTCTCAATAAATGACAAATATTGCATGCAAACTTTTCTGTTTAATATAATGAATAGGTTCAAGTCGAATGAATACACACACAGATTAGTACAACTCTTCATTTGAAGGTCAAACTATATGCGTGTGTAGATATATATATATATATGTGAATATATGATTGTTAAACGATGAGCGTCGATGAGTTTCTGACAGATAACTCTCGACAACGATGTGACAGGAGTAAAATATAGAAAGGACGAACGGCTGCCTAAAGCATTTTACCGTATATAATGGAAAAACAATTGCTGCTTAACTTTTTTCTTTCTTTTCTTTTTAATAACATCGATGAACACATACAAATGCTCACCGCCCCGAATCATTACTAAAACATTATACAATTAAAAACATCGAAATGCGATATCACCAGAATGTATATTTCCATATCAAAGGGACTCCGTATATATTTATGTATGCATATTGGCTACGCTATACGGTCCTATTCTCATTATTAGTCATTATATGAACGAACAGTTCGTTTGAGTTTTAATCATTGAACTTCAATCAAGCATGCAAACCTTTTTCAACTCTGTTCTTTTTTTGTCTATCATTATAGCTGACTGGTGCACAATTGAAATCGCTTGATTACTCGTGACTGAATATATAACCTTCAGTTGACAAACATAGATAATATCTATCTATGAATACATGAGATCCCTAAAGAAATCGAGAAAAAAGCTTGATAAATGTGACAGAGAAAGAGAGAATTAGAGAGAAAGGAATAAAATACTAAGAGTGTTAATTTAGACTTGCATTTGTATGATGTTAATGTTTTTCTTTTACTCTATGAGACTGACGGAAGTAGAGTAGCACATCTATTTCTTTCTATTTTCTTCATCATTTTCTTGATTAACTGAACAGAGAAATGAGAAGAGAAAGAGAGAGCGAGTAGAAACAAGAAAAAAAAGCGCAGAACTAAAAGCAAGAAATAGTAGCTAGTTGTTATAGTATCGTCATTCAATAATATTAGCATTGGAAACTCATGTATTATTTATTGACTAGAATATTAGAGAACCCTGGGATTTCGATAGAGCATTTTTCATCGAATTCTTCTGTTCTTTTTTGTCACCGAACAAAGTCGATTGTGTCGCATAAACTCTGAGAATCATCAACATTCTGCTATTTTTTTTCTCTCTACTCTTTTCATCTATATTTGATGTACAGCATTGCGTCTCGCTCAATGACATTTCGTTCGCCGAAAGTAATCAAGTATTTACTACGCGGAAAAAGATTGTGCCAATTATTTCGTTACCCTTAAGGCACAACTATTTCATTTAAATCGATGATTGACTCTGTAAAGAGAAATCAAATACATAGCGCGATTCAATCAGTATAGTTAGATAGATTCTTCTTCGTGAAAATTTTCCATTCCGTTCCTTTTCTGTTTGTTTTGTTTCTATCAGATTTCAACTTTTTCTCAATATGCGAACGAAATTAATTCACTTGTTGACGATATTATAGTCGTCAGTTATCAGATCTGATCCATTGACACGACAGGATGTGTACACATAGCTGACAGAATCTATGAGCATACTGTCAACGTTTGAGCTTAGTTCAATTCATTTAACCTTTCTTCCGTCACCGCTAACAGCCCCATCATGATAGTGTTGAAAATTTAAAATCTTCTTTTCTTTCTTTCTTGTGTTTGTTTGTTTGTTTGTCTGTCTATGTCATTCTCATGATATTGATTGTTTGCATTTAAGCTCATATTCCTATCAAATATATTCATATAAATATATACGTTTATTTATTGATCCTGTCTTATTATAGACAGATCGTTTGGTTTATTTGGATTTTTTTTATTCATATTTTTTTCCTCTATTATATGTCAGCCATATGTCAGCATATATATATATATATATACATTTGAAAAAGAAGTAAGACAACCACTTGATGGTCGATTCATAGTAATTTGTTCATCTCTTTCTAAAGACAATACACAGCAATTGATTCATATCGAAGACGTTTCTAATTTAACTGTAGGAGTTTTACCTAGGTTAAGAGTATGCATGCTTGAGTAGTGCAATGATGAGTACATATATATAGTATATACGTGGATGTTGAACTTTCAACTCTCATCTTATCGATAACGGATCATTTCATGGTTCGAATATTTGCATATATATATATATAGTACTAATAATAATGAATCTCTTGATATATTCGATCTTTACAAAATACGATTGATAAAACAAAAAAATGGCTTCACCTGTCGCGTACAGGAATTGTAATGAAACCACTTATCATTAGAATGAATTGCGTACGAGAATTATTTGAAGATTAGAACATAGACCATCAGCCACTTTGCACTTTTTACATATTCTTATTCAAACAGGTGTTGATTCTTCTTTTCTCTCTAGTGCGGCGTTATGACCGACACGGGAAGCCGATAATCGTTTTTCTTTTTTTGGTGATCGATGTTTTAAGTTGAGTGGTGGTATGTATCGACGTGGTTAAAGTTCTTAATTCATTTAAAGCTTTTTTTTTTCATTCTTTCTTTGTTTCTTCTCTCTCATCATGGTCGTTTGTTCATTCATATACATGTTTTATTCATAGTATACTAATATTTTTCAATTAAGTGAAAAGAAGAAAAGGAATGAGCATTCGTTTGATTAGTTGTTTCTCTTGAGATACAGCCGAGAGACAATCTTCGTTATACATGTATTGTACAAAACAAATAGATGATCTTTCTCATAGTAAGTCACGCAATAGTATTGTTATTGTTGTTCTTCCTCCTCCTTCTCGCTCTCTATCACTCTTACAGTATCTTTTCTGTTGACTCTACATTTATGTACTAGCTATTACATCATCATATAATTTTGACTCTCTCTATTCCTTGTCTTGCTGCTCTTTGTATCTTGTCGCGATGGACGGAGTGTCAAGTAAGATTACACAAGCAACACGGGTATGTTGAGATGAACTATTCAGTCACAATAAGATACTAAACATTTCTAGACATGCATGTCCATCATCCGGTTTGTTGCCGTCTAGAAGTAAAAAGGAAGTTAGTGATGAGTGACAACAATTTCTTCTCTTGTAATTGCAATTCTATTTAAAACATTTAGTGTTTTGGTCATTATCATCATGAAATGAAGTGACAATTGATTTTAGCTTTCTTTTTCTTTAACACAGCAGGGATGTAAGGGTCAATGAATTAGACTGCCTACAGCGATGAGACATGCGCCATACACGTCAGTAGTATATTATCAACAGCTCTCGAAATTTGATAAAGATGAACATATACTTTTTTTTGTAGTCTATCTGTTTCCTATTTATTGACTTACGTCATAGATGCTTGTGTTTGATCATTACATACATATTATATATATATATATATATATATCTGCGATTATTGATTCTCATCCACATCATTGCTTCTTCGGTTACATGAATAATTCGTAAAACTCTAGCTCAACTGTTATTTTTGATGTTTTAGTCACTTGTTCGTTGCCAATTGTACATAGAATAGAATATCAATCAGCTATTGACAGAGATAATCTACTCTCTTCTTTTGTTTCTCTTTCTCTTTCACTTGCGCACAATTGAAAACGATGAAATGGTGGAACACATGGTTATGCTCAAGAGAGATAAGTCAATAGTATTCAGTCTAGAATCTGATAGAATATTAATCGTGTCGTGTCTCGAATCAGTGTGTCTGCATATTATTTTTTTTCTTTAATTAATTTTTTTTTCTATTCTTCAGATGTTTTTATTCTTAATTTTATTTATTCTACTAAATTCAATAAACTCCTGTCCATTAACTGATAATTATTTGTCACGCTGTCATTGTGAAATCTTAACCAATGGCGAATCATACATTAAATGCCACGAAAAAACTCTCAATGAAGTACCAATATTTAAACGTTCATTTCCATATGATAGACTTATACTAGCAAATAACAATATTAAAAATTTAACACGTTCAGCATTTGATACAATAAAAACGATTCGACGAATTAATTTAGAAAATAATTCAATATCATTTATTGATAATGATTTATTACGTTTATTGGGAAATTATTTAGAAGAATTAGTTATCACTGGCGATAATATTATAAATTCATTAGAATTTTTAACACGTTACCCATTGAAAAATTTACGTATACTTAAACTTCATAGATTTAATTTAAGTGAAGTCAATCTTGAAAATGTTTTTCTCAATATGACTAAACTTGAAATTCTTTCTTTACCTTCATGTCAATTAAAGCAAATTCCAAATTTAAAAAATATTCATCAATTAGATTTAGAAAATAATCAAATATCGAATACAGTACATTTATCAAGATCATATGTACATTTGAATTTAGCGAAAAATTTCATTTCATCAATTATCTTAGAAAATAATACACAATTAATATCTTTAAATTTAACAGAAAATATTCTAAGTCAATTTTCAATGGATTCAATAGAAAATGAAAATTTACAAGATATAAATTTAAGTCAAAATTATCTATCATCATTTAATTTCTCAATATTAAATGATCAATTATTAAACCTTAATTTAAATTCTAATCATTTATTATCGTTAAATTTAATTGTTATACCAACAAATTTATTATCATTATCAATAAGTAATAATTTAATTAAACAAATTAAATTTTCAAATCGATATTCATCATTAGTCAATCTGGATTTAAGTTCCAATCAATTAAAATCTATTGAAAAACATTTTCTATTTGAAAAATTAAATTATTTAAATCTTGAAAATAATCCACTTGATTGTAATTGCCAATTAGAATGGTTAAAAACGTTAATATTACATCAAACTAAATTAAATGCTACAACATGGACGTGCCGATCAAATGTATCTCCTATATCATTTCTTTCAGCTGATTTTCAATGTGCATCAGTTAGTATTCCTCGTGTTCAAACATTCAATATTTCCTATGTAAAAATATCAATTCAATATGGTCTTTATATACAATGGTCAATTGTTGATGATAAGAATATACTAGATTATTTACAAATAAGTATTTCAGAACCATTTTATCTTTCACCAAAAATTTCACCAAATCAAACGGAAATATTTCTATCAAATCAAATTAAATTAAATCAACAATATCATTTATGTCTCATTTTATTACATAAATATGCACGTGATAAGTATTGTCGAGTATTTCAAACCGATAAACTTATTATTCTGACGTCAAATGAAATAATACTTGAAAGAAATGAACAGAATGCCATACAAACAAAAGATCACATTGATATTAATTTATTTATTATGTTAATCGGCTCATGTATTGGCGGTTTCATTACATTTATTTTGATATTAACATGCTTTTATTTATGCATTCAAATTCATAAATATAAGCTAAAGAAAAATAAGGATAAAACTATTTCATATTATACAAAAAATTCGAATCTACATTATCCTATCTATCATACACACTCAATAACATGTCCATATCATCATGAAAATCTATCAAATTCAACAGATACTAGTCAGATTGATACGTCATTATCAACAACAAATTTAAAACATATTTATCAAACAATCGATAATCATGATTATTCAAGTTTAACAGGAGAAAGTCAAGTATTTGATTTATGGAATCAATCACTAAAACACAAAAGATAGTTTTGTTTTTTTCTTCGATTTCTTTTTCTTTTTATACATCCGGATGAATAGACTTGATATGTTAATTTATATATGTATGCTTTTTTTCCTCTTCGTCTTGTACAAATAAAATGGAAATTTTTGCTTGTCGTTATTTGATTCTCAAGAGAATAAATGAAAAGAATAGTAGAGCTGATCTCTTGAGTATGTATAATGACATTGTCGATGACGATATACATTTCTTCGAAACAGCAAATTAGTTTTAACAATGAATACGTTAGATAAATAAAATTGAATTATTGTTAGTTTTTGTCAAAATAGAACTAACATTTTATTTAATAATTAAAATGAATCTTAAAATAATGACTCTTGCGTTCTATTTCTTTTATCGCTATTCATCATCTGAACAGATGGAAAAACATTACATACGAATGACCGAGTAATCAATAGCATCGCTGTTTCTTCTTGAACAAAATTTTATGTTGATGATTGAAATGAAAAATAAAAAATGCCGGACATGTCGTTGATAACGAAAGCCACATTCTATTATCCCTAATATACTTATTACTAAACAATTCCGCATACAGCCTAAAAGTGAAAAATAGAGTAGTTCTTTTCTAATTTGTTGAAATGAACTGATTTACCGTCAGATAATAGACGATAATTGCAGGTTTTTTTTTGATTTGATTCATAACTGATTATTTTATGTAAATAATTGAAGTTCAGTACTATCTACTAATATGATCTTGTACTACGCCTACACTTATAGTAGTCAAACACAGTTGAGTCAAAAATATAAAATTACGAGATGAAAAAGATTTCCGTTTTTTTATTAATTAGATTTTTTTCGAAGTCACAATATTAGAAACAGTTGAATTGTTCAGGAACTTTACAGTTATCTGATACTGTTTTGTATTTCAAATTTAGCATCGTTGTTGATTGATCAAGTCGATTAAAAGAAAATTTTGATTTTTGTCTTTAAACATTGACGGCGCAGCCTTTTTAAAAGAAAATTTATTATGAATAAAACACGAAATGGAATGTAAAATTGTAAATTTTCTCACATTGCATTAAAGTGATCCTATGGGTTTGCATGATGTGTGAAACAAAAAAAAAAGTCTTTAGTTTTTTTATTAAATTTTACTAATAACTACGAAAGACTTGTGTATTTTATACAAAAAAATCTTTCTTTTCAGTTTATAACTATAAATATCGAAGATTAATATATATTTTTCTTTTTGTTATATTTAAATTGTTACGTTAATTTTATTTATTGAAGTGAACCACAATTTGCAATCTTAACTTCTCGGGATACCTCACCATTATCTGATCCACTCATTTCTAGATCGTTCAATAAATGAAAGCCTTGTAAAACTTGTCCAAAAACAACATGTTTCCTATCTAAATGTGGACATGGAGCAAATGTAATAAAAAATTGACTTCCATTTGTATTTGGGCCACTATTTGCCATTGACAAAAGACCAGCACGATCATGTGTATATGGAAAACCTTCATCATCAAATTTTTCTCCATAAATTGAATAGCCACCTGTGCCATTTGATTTTTCGAAATCTCCAGCTTGAGCCATAAAACCTGGAATAATTCGATGGAAGTATGATAGCCGGAAGCCAAAACCATGATCATTTAAACATAATGATAGAAAATTTTGTGCTGTACGTGGTAAGACATTACGAAAGAGTTCCATAACAAGACGACCTCGTGAATCACCATCGATTTCAATATCGAAATAGACAACTGGATTGGAGTCATGCTTCATAGGCATCTGAGTACTGGCACTATGTCTATAGATAGAAGAAGAAAAGAAATGAATTTTTTTTTCTTTTTTTATCTAAAAAATCTTTCTTCTTACACTTGTTTTTCAGGAGGAGCCGAAATCACTTGCTGCTGTTGCTGTTGCTGATACGCGTTGACAACTGGAGCAGCAGAAGATACTTGCTGTTGATCAGCAAGCTTTGTTGATCCACTTTTTCTATGAATCGAGAATAATAATTCAAGAGCTACGGAACAGACATTGAAATTTAATTTACCGTTCTTCAGTTACTTTTTCACTATCAGTATGTTTGCTACTTTCACCATGACCATGTTTTGATGAACGTTTTTTATGTTTTTTCTTATGTTTTTTCTCTTCAGCTGTTCCATCTGTATTTGATTGTGAAGCACTTGTTGATACGGTTAAATTACTAGTATTTGGTGCTTCACCTAAATAAATCAAAGTACATTGTTGTTTCGCCAAAAAGAACGTCTATCAATGGACTTTTTTTTACCTCCGACGATAGGCGGTTGTGTTGGTACTGTTCCAGGTGCTGTTGGTTGGCCATCTAAATTTTGATAAACATACGTTGGTTGACCGTTTGTTGGTATAGGAACATAATCAGTAATGGGGCGAACAAATTTTTTATAATAATCATCAATACTCGAATTATTATATTGACGAACAAAAGTCGATCCACGCTGATAGGAAACATTGGCATCATCTGGCGATGACCATTTTGCATTTGATTCATCGAGTGATGGTGGAGCATACCCGCCAATATCAATGGGTATTTGTTGTTGTTGTTGTTGCTGTTGTGGAAATTGAAATGATCCAAAATCAAAATTTTGTCGTAATTGTGAGTCTTGTTGTGATGGCACAGAATTGAGAGAAAGACCGGCTAAATTTTGTGTTAATATATTTTCATTATATTGTGGTGGATAGCTATAGACGTGATTTGAGAACATAGTTGACCGTTTAAACTTTAACTATGAGTTACAATGAATCGTCCTCTTTCTCTTTTTTTTTTAACGATATTGGAAATATGACGAGTAATACACTTTGCGGGTAACGAATGAATGATATGGTCCGTTGAACAAGCGAACACCGTGTATAGATATCAACTGACTTTTGCCCGTCTTCATCAAAAGAGAAAAAAATGCGAAATTATCAACAACGATCAACTGTCATTTTGGATGAGCTACGAACATCGATCATACTTTTATCTTTATATGCCTTTGCGTGAAACGTTTGGTCATTTATGTAATCTAATCGTTCGAATGGCTATTTAAGTGCATCATTCAACATGAAATAATCAAAAGAAAGTCAATGTTCTTGTTTCTTCTTTTTTATCAGTAATATTTTGCATACAATGATGTGATCATTTGATTTCTAACGCAACGAATCATTATCTTCTACGTGCATTTTCAAAATATGAATTGTTTAAATTTTGATATAATGTAAAAGTTCTGCTCGATAAAAAATGTCTTCAAAAAAAGAACCTAGCTATTAAAAGAACAAGAAAAAGAAACGAGATTTAATTTTTTTTCCGTCATCTGCAGACGTCACAGAAAATAAAATAAAACATTTTCGTCTTTTTCTGTACATTTGCATCAATTCTATGGCATTGTAATTGTCAACAGAAGAAAGTGAATTTTATAATGCAGAACATTTAAACAAAATCCTTACTTGTATAGCATTGAATGAGAAAGTGGTACTTTACTATTTGGTATGTTTGCATTTTTTCAAATGTCACATGGTCATAACAGAAATAAATTTCATCTATTACTTGATGTAGTCGACGTCGGCCGTTCTCTGCTCGATACTATCAAGTATTTGGACGAGAACCTCAATATCCATGTTGGTTAGTATTGTTACATTTCATAGTTGGTAGTTTTAAATGCATAATATATTATGGTCTAATTCTTCTACTTATCAAATGGTATTTATGGCCAAGTATAGCACCGGGTCTAGCAAAATATTCAATTGTTCAAACAACTCTTAATCGTTCATCATCTCTTGTTGATCGTCTAAGAGCAAATAGAAAACTACCATTAGAATGAATTTATGTTGACTTTTCTCCGTTCGAATAAAGAATTGAAATAAATGACAGTCGAAAAGATACATTTTTCAACATTTATTTAGTTTCTACAAACATCGAACTTATTTAAACTTTTCTATTGATGCCATTTAATAGATTTTCACAGTGTAAGCAATAGAATTATCGCTCTGAAGAGTGAACCGTTAAATACAGTTCACCATCGGTTCTTATTGTCGATCTCGTTCGATTCCCTCAACAACGCATTCGTCCTTTTGTTTTTAATGACTATTTACAACAGAAATGTTAAACATCATTGTACTTCGACGATAGAATTTATTTGATAAATCGATATACGAGATAAGTTGTTATCGAATGAACATAGTCGATTCACGAAAAGAAATGTTATCCTATGTAATATTCGAATCATTGTATACTATATTTCATTCATGTAATAAGATAATTTTGTCTGCTTTTCAATGATGCGTCTTAGAGCATAACCTGCGAACAATATAAATGACATTGTTAAAACGAAAATGAACAGAACATTTGCAGAATACTTTCTTTTTATGTCGCATAAGAAAATTAGAGTAGTAGAAAATTCGCATGAATCTAGTATACGAAAAACAAAACTATTGAGAGGCAAAATATTCGAATTCGTGAATGCCAACATGGATGAACTGTGTGAAGAAAAATTCCTCTTTCATTCTATTATTTATTGGATATTATTTGAAATTGATTGTTTATCTTCACAATACTAAAAATTTTGTTTATTTGATATTGCTTTATGATTTATTTGAATAAATGCAAAAAAGAATTTAACAATATTGAAGAAAAATTTCGATGCATTGTATGAGAAAAACATACACGAAAAAAAACACAGCACACACACACACACACACGTATTAAAACAAAATGGACGAAGGACTAAGACATAAAAAAAAAACACGTAAATTGAGACAATTTTTCAACAAGGACAAAACTAAATACACTCTTCTTTTTTTTGTTTTTTTTAGCTATTTTATACATTTTTTTTATTTTTTTTTGTTCTGTTTTTATATGGCACAGATTTGAAATTCTAATATACAACTACAATATACATTCCTCATATTTTATTTTTAGTCGATGTTTAATAGTTAACAAATATTATTTGTGCAGGTCGCCTCGGTGAGCGCCGAACTGTAATAGAGGGCCTCGCCTGCGTTCTGTCGACCGCACACTGTCTAGCGCGCCTTCACTCTGTACAATCATCTCCTAATTCGGAGTGTGTCGCTGCTCACACCTCGCCACCATTATTTCTTCTAGTAAATAATAAGCTTGGCTCATCGCATATATACGAACACTGTTCGTTTCACTGTTGCGAGTTTCGTCCTGTCCCTTCAAATCACTTCTTCGCATCCTTAACTTTTAGCATTCAACATTTTCATACGCAATTTTAAAGGCATCATATCACCTCGAGGTTCATTTTGTTGTGTATGACTTGAGGCTGTATTGATTTGTTCTGCAACACAGTTTGACGGTTGTTGTAATGGTGGCATCGGAAAAGAGTTATTGGATGATGTTGAAAAATAGTTCATTAATGTTTTTAATTGATTCAATGAATTAATATTATCTTGATGATGAAAATTTTCACCTTGTATTTGTTGTTGATTATTACTATGATAATCAATTGTAGCTCGTGGAGGATTTGATTTACGTAATAAACCATTGATCACTGATTGACAAACAGATTGAAGTGCTGTTTGTTGTTCAACTGGTGATGGTGGAGGTGGAGGTGGTTTATTTAATGAAAGTAAAGTCATAGCTGCTTCATCCCATTTTTGTTGTTGTTGTTGTTGATGATGCTGCTGTTCATCGTCTTGTTGTAATTGATTGAAACTTCTTTTCAATGATGTTATATTTGGTTTAGATTCAGTTGGTGACACAGTTGTTAATAGACGCGATGATGTTACAGTATCTTGTTGTTTAGTTTTAAGAATTTGATTAGCAAGAATTTGTAATAATGATTCATTTGGTGGTGTTGGTGATGGTATTGGTGTTAATGGTGATGGACTTTTATTTGATGCCGTTGTTAATAAATTACCTGTTTTCACTTCTGTTCGACTTAAATCAACAGCACCATTATTATTACCAAGTAATTGATTGTAAAGTAATGGATATTGAACACGTGTATTTAATGAATTGTCATCGGTTGTTGTTGATTCAATTTCATCATCATCATGTGTTTCAGATGCTGATGAATTTTTTGGTCTTGTGGATAGTGATGAATAATCATCATCATCGCTGATGAGATTACGTGGACCAAGAATATTGGATGCTGATGTTGCTGGTTTAAGACAAATATGGCCAAGACGTTGTTCTTCTTCAAATAGACTTTCCATTTCTGTTTCATTCATATTTAAACGTGATAACATTAAAGTAAGTTTAGCTTTTAGTGCATCGTTTTCATTTGATAATTCAACAACTTTTGTTTCTAGTTAAGATAAAAAAATGCGTTTTTGCTTTATTGAATTGTATGAATAGAATAAAAAAATTCTTCTTACCTAATACAATATCATTGAGACGTCGTTTCTCACGTGAACGTTTAGCAGCTAAATTATTTTTCCGACGTCTTTCCCAATAATGATTGTCTTTCATTTCATTTGGAATAAAATCACGTCGTTTTCTTGCTGGTATAACATCTTTACGAAGTAACAGTTGAGTTAAAAATTCTTTATCAACACATTGTGGTCCAGCTGTTGTTACAACTTTAACAATTTCACGATCACTCGTTGAATTTGAACGTGAATCTGCTGCTGATATTAATGATACTTGCGAAGGAGGTTCATTTGACATTGACATACTTTTTCTTTAAATTGAAAAAGAAAATTAATTAATGTATTAAACTAAATCGAATAGAACCTACTTGATTCGCTTTATTTGTGATTCTAATGTTAAATCAGATGGAGATGCTGCTGTTGTTGATGATGATGATATTTGTTGCTGAGTTAAAGCATATAGCATATTCAATTGGGATTGCAAATCATTGCCAAGCAAATGAGGTGAACGTACAAATGGAGATGTTGATGAACGTAGGAGATCATTCGTTTGCATTTTCTATTATTATAAGTGGAAAATATTTGTTTTCATTCTTGAATATTTAAAGAAATCAAGAAACAAACCTGAATGCTAGTCATCATTATTCTTGACGAATAATACTAGTGATGAAACACGTCTATTCGCGTCGGACTCGGATACGAAACTGACCTTTCTTTTTCTCTACATTTTACTTATTTAGTTCTCTCTTTCTCTCTTTTTCTCTCATTGCCCTAGTTCACTCATTTATATTATTCAGGACAAAGAGCAATAAGAAGGATGTATGGACATGTCTGCGGTCATTAGAGGCTAGGTCAGTATGACCCTCTTCTTCTATTTGCTTGATCGTTATGCTCCCATTCTCTCTCTTATGAGTATCGACATGCACAATATTCTCTCGTCAGACATTGGCTATTGTGTATGCTCATTGACCTTATATGTATATTTGCTCTTTTTCCCTATCGTGTTCATGATCAAATGTTCTTTGAGTCTGTAGCTATATGTACGAATGGCCAGAGGAAAGAGAATCAAGAGCAATTATCGAACGGATGACCGACAACATGATGTGATGACCTTCTTCATCTTTTCTATATCCACGATTAAAAGATAGAAAAAGAGAGAGAAATAGGTCAGTATGACCAGATAAATAATAACGAGAAAAAAAATGATTGTTTCAATTAAAACGTCTTTTCTTAAATGTTATTTAAATCTCATCAATCTTATTTGAAAATTTAATCGAAAAACAAGTGCATCGAAATATTCAATAGATTTTTTTTTCTAAGATCTGTCTATGAAAATGAATTGATAATATAGGTTATGGTAGTGTTTGTTCAATCGTTTCTTTATTCTCGGTTATGACCTTATTATGGGTTGTTCATGATGTTCATTGTCTATATATGTCCACATAAGGAGGTCAAACTGACCGACATAATTTCTTTCTCATTATTCTTAAGTACACAACTGTTAGTGAGTATGTTTCGGTCACACAATTAGACATGGACGATTCGGAATCGGAATCGGCGATTCCGATTCTAAAAAAAAAATTAAACTTGGCGATTCCGATACGATTCTAAAATATATTAAAGCCGATTCCAAAAAAAGCTGACTTTACCCATGTCTAGTCAGAAAAAGAAATTATATCTTGTTTACATTGTACAGTGTTGTTTCATTCACTTTCGTGCAAAACAAATAATATACTATAATAAATTCAAAAATAACGTCAATAAAAAGTACTTTGATACATCTGTACAGAAAGAAAAAACAATCTCTGTAGATCTCTAAAATGACGATTCCAATTCCGATTCCGATTCTTAAAAAAATTAAACTTGGCGATTCCGATACGATTCTAAAATATATTAAAGCCGATTCCAGTACGATTCCGATTCCAAAAAAAGCTGACTTTGCCCATGTCTACACACAATATGTTAGTTTGCTTGACCGATAATAAATGATAGTCTAGATGTTTTGTTCTTCTGTGCATGATATATAATAAATGAATACATAAATAATTTTCTTTAGTAGAATGAGCAATATTCGTAATCTTACTAAGATTATGTGTACAATATTCATTGAAATACTGTATTGTATCGTATCAAGAAGATTTACAACCGAGAAAAACAAAACTGGATGCCTAGAAAATTATGGAAACGTTAAAAATACTACACGTGCAAATCTATTTGCGTATATTTATCACCAACATGTGTCACAAGGCATAAAGATCTACGTGGCAATAGGCTGCAATCGATTTCCCTAAAACTTAGTAATCGACTATTGCGTATATAGTTGTTTTTTGTCATCTCTAACATTTATGTCAGGTTTTTCTTATGTGTGTGTAACATGCGTGATATCGACGCAAAGAAAGCACAAGAAAAGATCAGATGATGCTATTTGCCTGGAATAGAAAGAAAAAAAAAATACAAGGTCAAAGGCTAGTACAAACTATTGCCTATAAATATTTGTACGGAAAAATATGATGATGTAAAAAAAACGCATCAACATACTACTCTGTAATACACACCGAAAAAAATGACTGATACTGTCATTGACAATAATAGAGATGAAGATTCGCTTTTATTACTTCTTCGAGATGCTATTGTACAACATTCACCATTAAATGATATTAAACTCATTCTCAGGTAGTTTTATTTTATTTGAAAAAATTATTTTTCCATTTTTGTTCTCACTTTTTAGCTGTAAATATGTAAATATAAATGGATGTGTTCGTCGTGGTCTTAGACCAATACATTATGCTGTATTTGAGAATGATATCGAAGGTGTTCGACTTCTCGTTGAAGACTATAATGCAGATGTTAATGTACTTGATGAAGCTGGTTATTCACCGTTACATTTAGCTGCGAAATATGGCTATATTGAAATAATGCATATATTAATTGATCATGGTTCTCTTGTTAATTTTCGCAAAGCAATCAATGACACTCAAACTCGTGCGTTGATTGCACCTTTTTATGATGTGATGACAGAACCATTGAGTCTTTGTTTGGAAAGTAATCATCTTGAATGTGCATGTTTGCTGCTTCAGTGCGGTGCTGATGTTAATCAACAATATTTTCTTGGCTATGAAATTAATTTATTATCATTTGAAAATCACAATTCATTGGAATTAATTCTTAAATACGGTGCTAATCCAGATGCTCTGTCACGTAGTGGTATTACACCATTAATAAAAGCATGTCGAGAAGGAAATTTAGGTGCAGCCATTTTACTCTGTCGTTATGGAGCTAATGTTAATTATGTCACAAGAAAATTTCGACAAAGAAACGCTCTTGTTACAGCTATTGAATCTAAACGAAGTGATATTGTCGAACAATTATTAATTTATGGAGGTTTTGCGAACAAACATCCTGAGTTGTGCAATTCTCCATTGGAATTAGCTATTCGAAAAGATACAATTGAAATAGTTCGACTTTTAATCGGTATATAAATTTATTTTTAAGACGCTTAAATTTAAAATACATATATTTATATATTTAGCTTTTAATGCTGATACAAATGAAGAGACAAACGAAGATGTCGAATGTACAACACCATTAATTCTTGCTTGTCAATGTTCATATCTTCGAGATCAATATAGTATCGTTAAATGTCTTCTTGAAAATGATGCTAATCCAAATCAATCTGTTTTGAATACTCCACACCACCATTTTCAACATATTCCCTATCGAACTCCACTAGTTGCTTATGTTAAGCATGCTCACGAACGTCGACTTGATATGCGTATTGTTCGGTTACTCATTGGTTATGGTGCACGAATATCATTTTCACGTGGACGAGGTTTGTACATTTTGTTTTTATTGTTCACTACTCTTTGAAAATTATTTTTCTTTCTAAACAGATAGTGTTCTTCGTTTTCTACGTCGTTTACAATCGAATCCATATTTAATTGAATTATTGTGTGATGCAGCCTATTTTTTTCATCCAAGTTATATAGCTGAATGTAGAGAACTTGATGAAAAAACAAAAGAAGAAATCTATCGACGCGCCACAACACCGCATACACTAAAAAATATTGCACGAAAACAAATTCGAACAAATATATTTAATTCACCGAAGAAAATACGAATTGATCGAGCGATACAAAAACTTGATTTACCCAATTTTCTTCAACGTTATTTACTCTTCGAAAATGCGTAATCGAACAATGATATGTTTTTCTTTCTTCTGTAAATAGATATGTAACAATGAGTAATAAAACATCGTTGCTAAGCATCTTGTAACATCATTTATTGTATCTACGCAGAATAATTTAATAACAGATTTAACACTAAGAAGAGAAGTTATTCAAGTGACAAATCGCTTTTTTGTCAAGACGTACATATATATATATATGAAGTAACTGGTCTGATTTAGGATACATAGCGATGATCTGTTTCTTCAGGCATGCTTAATTTTCATCCAATCCAATATCTAATATAATTCTATTGTCTAATAATAGTCAAAATAATAATTATTGAAATACTGCTTACCAGGCATTTGGATTTCGATATATGTACTGTATATAATGCTAATATTCGTCATAAGAAAAAATGGGACTATAGGTACAAATATGTTTCTAGCATTGTTGTTCCAGATGGTGACAGAATGACGACATAATTTATGCTATACATTATACTATATAATTGTACTCAATTTAGCCTTTTCTTTGCAAGAAAAATGAATCATCATTGCATCCATTATTTTTAGATCTTTAACTATTCTAATTCATATTAGTTCTATTATTTTATCTAGATGGAAACATTTTCTATGTATCCGAAATTATTCAAACACATGTAACGTAGTTTATTTCCAACAGGGTACTTTTGACACAATGATCCTCATTCATACTTTGAGTTCATTATATAGAAAATTTTGACAGCATCATCTAGGATATACACTCATTTATTCTGTCATTCTTTTGTTATTCTTTGTTATTCTACTCCTTCGATTATTATATATTGTGCTAAATATGTTACTACTACTGTTAGCCTCCGAATATATGATAAAGAGATCAAAACACATGACGTATGACTGTTTGTAATGAATATACAAATCATATCATTGTTTCATAGTATAAAATATCAAAGTTCATTTTTAAATGTGTCACATAATAACGAATTCTATTAGAATTTATTATGTATTGTAAATAACAACAGTTATTTTTGGTTTTTACAATGCGAAAAAAGTACATAAGGGTTATCATAAACTTAGTTTTTCCTATTGCTTTAGCTGATCACTGAATCTACTATCAAATCTTAAAAATCAGAAATATAATAGATTAAAATAATCATCAATATATTATGCACAGAAAAATATGCATGCATCTGACTGTGTAGCATAAACTAAAGTAGCATAATCATATGACCGCCTACTTACATTCATAGAGTTACTGGTCATATCATACTGCGGATAATTAGCATATATATCCACAAGTATGTATTTTGATGCGTTCTAATTCACCTGAGTGCTAAAAAAAACAATGGAGTGATGGCATCTGATTGAAAAAACGGTAGCTTTCGATTCAAGATAAATTAAAGAGTTGTCAAAATTTCAAGTACCAGTATATGAAAAGTTCAGCGTCCATCAATGATATGAATAAATGAATAAAATAAAGTGGAAAAGGAAGGAGACTATCACAAATAGTTAAATGCTAAGCGATGACCCTTTACAATAGTTATTTTATGTATCGGTGAAAACACACTCTGTTGCGTATATTATTTGTTGCTCTTGTTGACTCATTCTATTAATAAAAAACTTATTTCTGAAGCGTCATAGGACAAATGAAAAAGTGTTTATCATTGAGTCGTTCTAAAATATCAACTCGGGATGCTGGTTTATTAAAATTGTAGCAAAAGCTGATGAATCTCCAAGTTATCACAATATGTTACAGTATGATTATAGCTATTGTTGAACTGTTCAGCATGATTCGAACTTTATTTTGAGTGAAATTCTGTTTTTTTTACAGAATTAATACTGTTGTCATTTTATTATTTAGAATAATTTATTATAACGTCACGAGCTCGTTTTCGAAATAAAATTTTCTATTGTTTCATTACAATTGAAGTAATTCAAGCCTGATTCATTCCCTTTCTTAACACTTTTTCTCCATTCTTTTTAGTTGATAGAAGAGTTCTAGTCGGAAATAGATTGCTTCTACTTTAAATCTTTAATTTTTTTAAAATTTCGGCTCGTTCGAATCAGATTAAACTTAAGTATGTTTGTTTTATTTGGAATATTTTCTTTTATTATAGATGACTTTATCAATTAGATTTCTATCAAAAAATATATATATTAAGTTTAAACAAGAGATAAGTCAATCAACATTGAATAAAAAGAATCTCCGACTGTTAGATTCTTTAGACATGATATTTTTTGTTTAATTAGAGCTATTTTCGCCATTGCTTTTGACTGTATTACAGACTGACTATATGCAGGTAAAGTTTTTCCTGAAAATTATTTAAAGCTTTATTTTAAATCAATTTATTTGTTGAATTCAACGAGGAATTTGTTTTCGTTCAGTTTCTTTTATTTTCTTACGCTTTTGTAGAGTAAATCATCTTTCGAAAGCAAATACAAGTGCACATCAGAAACCCAAAGTGTATTGTTGATGTATAATAAAGACGAAACAATCGTCGACTTGGGTCAACTTTGATAATAAATACGGTTATGTTGTTTTTAGTTTGTCTTGTCTATTTTCAGTTAGTGCATTATTTTCGTCGGAACGATTCGATATGCAATGAGTAATTGATTTGAACGACATGAAAATCAAGTTTATTGTGCTCGCTAGATATTCTTCCTTACACAAAGAAAGCCACCAGAAATGTCTCTCATTTGAACCCAAATCCTATTTGTATTAAACAATTTTTCTGTGAAGTTTCTATCTGAAAAAAGCATTTCTTTGATTTTGTTGTGTTGTAATTGATTGTTATACGTATAAGATTTCAAATCGTTGATTTACAAATTTGGACATCATATATTTTTGATGAAAAAAAAGTATCAGGATATTTTGTATTTTAAATAAAACCTGTTTGCACATAAAGAATGTCGTGAAATTTAATAATTCTGAACACTTTCCTTAATTACTTTTGAAAATTGTTATAAAATTACGATTTCGAACTGAACGATGCAAAAGATTATTTATTATCAATCTTAAAATTTTAGGAAATTGAATGGCCACAGAGTGAAATCACTATCTTGTCTCAACGCAAGAAATAATACGTATTAAATGGCATTCAGGCTGTACACATCAACATACTTGATACCGTCAACAGTCTACAGAATTATCCTTTGAGCCTGATGATCATTTTATAGAAATATAAGATAGGCATTTTTTCTCAACAAAAAAAAAAGGTATCATAGTTTTATGTTTTCTATTAACCATTAGAGGCTTCTTGTTTGAGATTGCAGGAATCTTTTTGATATGATTATTTTCTTTTTTGAAAACTTTAAATATACTAATTTTTCGTATAGTTAATTAGTTGCAACTATGAATTTTTCGTACGGAAATCATGATTCAACTGGGTTAGCTTTTGATTTGTTCTTGTCATCTAACATTCATTAGCGAATCTTGTTTCACAGATAATTGATAATGATGAATAATCTTTTTTTAATACACACACTAATATTTTCTTTCGATAAATCTACACATGTTACAAAAAAAGAAGAAGAAAAATTGTCTATCGTCTAAGAAAACAGATAGTCATATTTGTTTTGTCTTATGATTATGAGATTATAATATTTTTCTGTTCCAAAAGCTAATGTTTTTTTTTCTTCCGTTAAATAAATGGTTCCTGTTCATCAGTTATGTTCATTGGTATTTTTTCTACAACTGCTACTGCTGCTCCTGTTGTCGTTGTTGTTTCTGTTGTGGGATTTCTTTTGCGTCGATATATAAACCACCAAATGGCGTATAACGGTATAGGTAGTGTTGATATTGTACTCATTATCCATCCGGCATAACTTACTCTTATTACTGTTTTTCGATCGCCAAATGAAGTAAATTCTTTACTATCAAATTGAATAAATGAAAATACATAAAGAACAAGAAGAATCGATGGTGCAACATAACAACAAGTGATACGCCAATAAATGCTTGGTTTATGTCCAGTCATTGATTCAACATTCTCACTAAATCTATCAAAACCATACAACCATACCGTTGCAATAAGTTCACAAAGAACAACAAACATTATCGATGGAGATGTACCAAAATAATCCATAAAATTAATGACAAATTTTCCTCCATGGGTTAATGTTGGTAGCGATGCTAAAAATGGAATTAATACAACCATTGCACGTGATAAGCGAGGACGACGAGCAAGTATTGGAAATTCATCAGATATTGCTGTATATACACTTTCGGCACCGGCAAATACACTATCAAGTCCCAATGTAAAAACCATAACAAAGAAAAGAACAGAAAAGAATGGTGCACCACGTATCGATGCTAAAATCTCTGGATAAATAACAAAGACAAGGCCTGTATTACTTCCGGTCAATTGTGAAACATCAGTGTGTAAACGATGTGATAAATATCCAAGACCAGCAAAAACAACTGTACCATATAAAAAACTAGTACAACAATTGACTAAACTAGCAATTAATGCTGTACTTGAAACATTATCATTTTTATCACTAAAACTTGCGTAACTTAGTAAAACACCAAAGCCAGGTCCTAGACTAAAAAATATTTGTACAGCTGCTGCTTGCCATACTGAATATTCGCGTAAACGTTGAAATGACGGTTTAACATAATATTTTAAACCTTCAAATATTCCATCAAGTGTTAATGAACGTAATAGTAATATAGCAAGTATAACGTATGGTGCTAAGGCTGTAAACCATATAGCTTTACCAGCTGTTTTAACACCTTTAAATATTGATAAATAAATAAGAAAAAATACAATAAATGAGCATCCAACTAGTTCCCATTGTAATGAACCTAAATGATTAATAGTAGGTGATAAATGAGATTTAAGTAGACGTCGTTCAAAATATTCATCGGCTGCTGAGCATGTTCCATTGTGTGTTACATTAACAGCTTCTTTATCATGTAATGAATAGCAATTGATTGTATTCCAACTATTTTTACAATATGCCCATGGTACAGCAGCATGAAAAGATGCGAAAAAATAATGGACAGACCATGCAATTATTGTATTATAATAGGATAGAATATAGAAATTAATAATTAACATTGCATAGCCGATACCTTTCAATGGTGGACAAACTTTTTCCCATATTGTAATGTAACCGAGACGGTGATATTGTCCAATAGCCAATTCCATGTACATACCTGGTTTTTGTTTGAAAGTTAATAATTTTAGAAATATTATTCAAAAAATAAGCTTACAGGGAAGGCCGACAAGGAACAAGAAAACAAAATATGGAATAAGAAAGGCGCCGCCTCCATTTCGATAACATGTTGTTGGAAAACGCCAAACATTACCTGTGGAGCAAAACAAAACAAAAAGAAACTAAATTGTTAAATTATAATTCTCCTATGTAAAAATAATCGATTTTTAATCTGATTATTAATCCAATTTTTTTCTACATGGGATACGATAGAAAACCTACCGAGATCAACAACAAAGCCAATAATTGATAACAAATAAACAACACGATTACTCCAATTGTCACGCTCATTTCCTGCAATTCCTTGAACATATTTATTTTTTGTTTCGATGCTTGCTGTTGTTGTCGTGGCTACGAGTAAATCTCCTCTTTCGATTTGATCGTGATTTTTAGCGATGACCATTGGTAAAAGTTGCTGTTGAGTCTCGTTGTTAGACATGTATCTGTTGATATAAAATTAATTAAATTTATCTTTGATTTATGTCTCATGATATAGAAATGAAACCGGGTACTACTGATTACCGGTCGTTCTGTCAATAGATTGCTTGTTACCGGTCTAGGTTTATTTCCTACTTGTATTATATCAAAATTTATTGAAAATTTCTCTAGTCTTAATAGTATCTCATAGAGAATGTGTAATGAAACATTCGTACAAGTTATCTATAGGAAAAAAAATCGTTAGCATCAGTTAAGAAATATGTGTGTTCGTTAAAAATCTAGTCTGATTCCGTCTTTATCATTATCGTTTATGTTTCTATAACAAGCATACACCACCCATACATATTTCTCGCTTTTTTTCTTTGTTTCACTAAAACGACAAATCTGTCATCTGGGTACGATGTTATCTATAATTTGCTTTCATAGAAAAGGATGAGAGAACGATATGTGTTACATTTTAATAAATAGAAAGGCAGTATATCTTTGCTTTATCGAAAAGTAAATACTGACTCAAATATACGTTGAAGGTTCTATCTGACAAGTTGAAAAGACTCCCGGTAAGAGACTGAGCACAATCAACAGAGGTCGTTAGTGAAATCGTTTTAGCTTGTGAATTTGAATGTCAAATTTGAAACCTTATAAAACAGTAGCTATATAAATTGAAACATTACTGTATATTCTTACTTGTCGGTGTACACTTGCGAAGATCGAATTTCTTTCAATTTTGAAACCATATTCAAAACAAAATCTTTCTTTTCAATGCTCAACATTTCACAGTTATTTTTCTTTTCACTGTTGAACGGTTCGAACGAGTGAATAGGTCAGAGGATACAGAGTATTTTCGTTCTACAAAATAGACATACTGCATTATTATATTATTTTTTGATATCTCCATGTGTAAGAAAACAATCATAATCGATGACAAAAACAAGAAATGATTTTTTCTGTATCACATCAAAAATTCCAGTGAAAATAAAAGCTTTATCAATCGGAATTTTTATAAGTTTTCATATTAATCTGTACACATTTTGTGAGATATTTTCTATAGACAACTTTTCTTTCATAAGAATGATTACAGTATGGTTTTGGCTTGTATATGCAATTTTAACTGTCATTAAGAAGATTTTGATTCTAAGAACCGATGTTTTCATTTAAACTAACAGTATATTGAAGATTACTGCTGAGGATATGATGATGATTTTATGTATGTTTCAAATATTTTCACATATTATATTGAATAGAAGAATTCATCTGAGATACTTCTAAGAATTTAATTAAAAAAAGATTTTCATTCAAAAGCCACTCAAGAAATAACAAGTAAATTCCTAGTTTCTATGGTAGACAGAATAAAATGACAAAAGCATCCAATCGAATTTTTTCGACTGAAGCCTTATCAGGGCAAGTGAAGATTTCGTCTGAGAGAAAGTCATTGCAACATACACAAGTAGGTTATACATTCAGTAATATTTCAAAGCATCTAGTTATTTTTAACTCGAACATTCATTCTTCTAAACAAAAAAAAATATCAAAATGACAATCAAAGTCATATACAAAACCTAAAAAGCATAGTATATTCGATCTTATACGATGAAACGATCAATGAGTTGCACATTCGACGTATCAAAATAAAATATAGTGCAAAATGTGTAAAGAACAAAAATGAAAATATATAAACGTTCTGACTGACTCTAAACTCTTACTTTTATTGGAATTGCGTCCATGGTAAAGAAAATTGATAAATGAACGTTTAGTTTTTTTTCTCGGTTGTTATTTTTTCTTTTACTCACAAAAATATTTAAAAAAATAATAAATATATCTGTTTCGTAGAGAAAACGAAAACATTCTCTATCATGTTGTATATTCAATACTTCGAGCGGTCAAACTACTAAGAAGATAAAATGGAGAACACGATGAAGGTCGTTAAAAAGATTTTATTTTGATTATGTTTTGAAATATTGAAAGAATTGTGATCTTCAGAGACGTTTGGTTTCAAGTCAGAGTAGACTAAGATTTGGATTTTGATAAACACTTTCGTTGAGTGTTTTTAAAAGAAATTCTTTTTTGTGGATTCGCTCTCAAGTATACAAATAAAAACATAAGAAAAAACAAAAACGTTGAACAGAAACAAAAACAAGTTGAAAAGGTTGACGATATAATTCCTTCGCTACCATTCGTACGTTGAGCGTACAAATGCAAACATCAAGTCACATGTGATTTACTGTAAATATATTGAAAAAAAGAATGTTACTCAACAAGCAAGAGATCCTTTAGTCATCGTGTACTCATCGAAGAAAGAAAACCTTCTTTTAGATACATATATGTCAATGCTCTTCGATGTCGTTTTTTTATCAGGGGAATAAGAAGAGAGAATATTTATTGTTATTATTATTATTATCATCATGCCAGTCAATATTTCAATATACAATCGTTACTACTATCGTCTATATATATATATATGTGTGTGTGTGCGCGTAACTACAATAGTTTTAAATTCCACCAATTCGGAGTAAAGAAACAAAATAAATTTACCATTTTGCATTCAACTGTATAATAATTTGTATAGTAATAATATAGTTTTCATTCAATACTATGAGCGTTAACTATTCTATCATTAAATCGTCACAAAGAGTGTCATCAAGTCTTTTTTTTGATCTAAATTGGCATGCAAGTATATGTATATATCTCAAGCGTAGATGGTCTGTTGTTGATGCTCTTCAATGATCGATCAATTAATTGAATACACACTATCTATCTACTGTCATCACTACAACCGACATATCGCCTGCATCTTTTGTATTGCAAGCATGCATAGATGTTCTCAACTATGATAACTGACAAAAAAAAGAGACGAAAGGATTATTTGCCTATGACGAGTCGAATAAACAAGACCTTTTGCTATCTCTTGAAAACTGGTACGTCGACTCAATTGATAAGCTCTATCGAATGCGTATGTTATTCGGACATACAGTACAAACTTATCCTTTAGTAAAAAGCAGCGGCAACAACAACAACAACAAAATAAACTCAATTTTCACTTACATTGATTCTCATCAAAAGATCTAAACGTATTATCTATTGATAATGAATACATAGCTTAACTTCAGGAATTTCTTTTTTTTCTATTTTTCATTGAACACTAGAACTTTTTTTTTCTCGTGCCTACCGGAAGTGCTAATACGCCTATATAACTGTATATGCGTGTGTTTGTTGAATATCTACGCATCAAGATGTGTTTCCGATCTTGAAATAAAGAAAAAGAAGAAGAAAAAAAAAAGAAAGGCACAGGATATGAGACAGTTATTCGATCTTTTTATTCACTTTTTTTTCAATGTCATCAAGGGTTTGATCGGAAATGGTTAGATTTAACTGGTCTGCAAGCAGTCATTTCATATCTAGATCCTATTTAATGCGCAAGACATGCACACACACACACACACACACAGTTACACACAAATATCTAAAAAAGTTATTTGATCAACTGCTTGTATCTAATCGAATGAGTCGAAGCTTATTTGAATCGCATAGAACCGTAGCGGCTTCATTTTCACCGCCACAATAATGACTAGAAGAAAAGACTGTTAATAATCGACCATTTAGTTGAACCTTTGAATAAATATATTGAATAGAAAGAGGATTTACATTAAAAATATATGTACTTTAAATCCTTGTTGTTGAACTTCGTGTGCACGTACAACATAAGATAGTGAATTTTGATGAAGAAAATCAGTCAAAGCTTTTGACGAAAAGAAAAAGCCTGTTCCTCGACGAACATTCAAACTAAATCCATCGTTTCTATTCTCCAAGTCATTTATTTCATTTGATAATGGATCATTCCATAGAAGTTCCCAAGCAAATGGTGATTCATTTTCTGGATCACGTAACGGACATGGAATTTGTGAAACTAACTTAAAAAAATCACTTTTTACATCTAATGATGGTATACCACCATGAACACATAAAATACGATTATCAACAAGAGCACCTGGTAAAAAGAAATTAACAAATATTTCAATGTAAAATTCAAAAAATAAAAACAACATTTTGTTTACATATAGGCATTGTATCAAAACATCGATTAATTTCTTCCCAAACTTGCTCGCCAAGTTCTACGCCAAACCTTCGATGGCATTCACCATGGAATTGAAACATATCTTGAACATTGCGTAGTTCATGATTACCACGTAAAAGATAAACCTAAAAAAGTTGAAAAAAATTAATTTTTACAAAAGCATTATAATAAAATATGATCACTAACTTTATGCGGGCAAAGAACTTTTTGAGCAAAAAGATAAGCAACAACTTCAATACCTTCTTGCCCTCGATCAACATAATCACCTTGAATATGAAAAGGAAAAACAATTTATATATATATATTCATAAAAAAAAAAGAGAACGATAACTCTACCTAAGAAAAGTATCGACGCAGGTGTCAATACAGGTCCAAGACGCCAGAATGTTTTTTCAAAACAAATTAAATCACGAAAATTTCCATGTAAATCACCCACTAGCAGAAGTAAGAAAAAAGTAGAAAACATATTGATTTGTTATTCAAAACTTTTTCGTTACGAATGTAACAAGCAGATGAAATACGTAATAGACGATCTTCTTTCATGAAAATTGAATAAACCTGTTTGCATAAAACTAATAGGCAGCGAGCCATGGCTGCCATGTCTACTGGTCCCCATGTAAAAGCATCTTTTAATTCAGATCCACCTAATAATAGAAAATCTATTCTATCGGATAGGTATGTCTTAAATGAGAATAACCTTCTTTTGATGCTCGTTCAAAATAACGTAATCCATGAAGCATTTCATTTGCATGCGTACGTTTATTGAAACAATTTTGACTATTTATTCGATCACATTTTCCATTATCATCATCAAAAAATAATGCTGTACTACCACTAATCGCTCCTGCTATTTCCAAATCATACAACGATGTTATATCAACAACAACACCAGTCTTTTTTACCTAAACGTTTGCTCCTAAAAAATAGAATATTCTAATTACGTCTAGAAACAAACTTTAACAATATGTGTAGCGATTTCATATGGATGAGATTCGTCAACAGGCATATTTGATAGTGGCTCTTGTATAGCTGATCGATGCGTCATTGTTTTTATATTTAAATTTCGATTTGATGTTATGATATTTGAAGTTGCAGATGGCATCATCATTGTACTGGGTGTTATTGATGGTGATGGTGATGATGATGACCGTTGAAAAATGTCACCTATTGACATACTTAATCGAAACAATACAGATGTACCACGAAATCGAAGTTGACCAACGCCTGAAAGAAAATCCATCAAACTCAATGTCTGATCAGATGATCGTAATCCAAATAAACGAAACATTTGTAGCGCTTGATCATTTAATCTATCACCTGATAGATTTTCTCCTTTATTGTTATGTATATCTTTAATCATTAATTTAAATTCTTCAAATGTCATGCGTTGATTATTATTTATATTATAATAACGAAATATATAACGACAACGTTGTTCAGCTGGTACACCGCCATGTTGAGTATTTGGATCAAGTGCAGCCAATCCAAGTAAATAATCAAGAAATGTTAAGTAGTTTCGTTGTGTTGAATCAAATGCACGAAAATAATCTATAGAATGTTGAGATTCTAAACCTTTACGTGATATTAATTCTTTGAATGTTTCTAAATTAAGATAATCAGAAGGTAAAACTGCATTATGATATTCTTCATAGAGTTTTTCTTGAATAGTTGATGTAAATCTAGCTGAAAGAACAAGTGTTTCAGCCGAATTATTATGTGAAGTTTTCGATATTGTTTCAATTTGGGGAATTTTAACTTCTTCAAATATAACTGCACTATTTATATTATTGAGTTTTATTGTTGAATGAAATATATCTTTAAATTGTTTATTTAATGATAATGGCTCCATGCCTAATAATCGTGATAGTTTACTTATAGATTTTAATTGATTTGTTGTTAACCAAACAATACTATTATCTTGTAAAGTGTTTATTTGTCGCTCAATATCAATACCATCCATTTTCCCACTCAACCATGCACTGATTGCATGAGTTGATTTAGGTATAATAGCATAAAAAAGAACATCGCGACCTTTAAATGGAAGTGTTTTTGTTGAACAAACTTTAAAGAGTTGTATTTGCTCGTAATCATAAATAACAACTGGATCAAGTAATCGTTTAACTGTTTGCAATGATGTTTCATTAATACGACATTCAGTAAATGGAAACCAAAGACCACCACGTTGCCGATAATTTATCATTAAATATACATCTTTGACTTTATCATAAATTACACCAACAATATAATCGTGCAATGAAAGTCCATCAGCAATATGACTATTTGATACTGATAAACATTTTTGATCCATATGAAGATAAAAATTAACGAAATAGCAACAACAACAAAAGCAAAGTACGAAATCTAGGCGATGAAAAGCGCTTGTTTTATTTCGTGCAGTACATACTAAATAATATTTTCATAATATCAATATAGAGAACAATATTTTTAATTATTTGATAGAGGTTTCTCTTCCCGATGAGAATCTTCAAGTGATGACGTACTGATCCGCTAAGTTTTCATGACACAAGAGAATTTTTTGAAGCTTTATTTTTATTTCGAAGTAAAAAAAGAAGAAAAATCAATAGCTGAATTCAAAGTATTCTAGAGCAAAAAAAAAGTAGAATATTTTAAAAAGAATAATAAACAAGACAATAAACAGGACAAGTAAACATTTAAAACTATGACACAGAAGAAAACTAATTCTTCTAGTCTAAATGTTCTAAATGAAAGGTAAGCATGACAATTAATATAATAAGCAACGATTAGACGTCATCGCAAAGAAGTTATGCTCATAAGACACAACACAGAATGTACGATAAATGTTCGGCTGATAAACAAAAGAAAAGAGATATAGTAGATTTTAATCATGGACTCATAAAATTATAAGTTTTGAATCTTGGTGAAGCATAGCTTCCGGATTTTAATCACAGTTTATATTGCCAATTGGAAACGATGAGAATGAGGCATTATTTACCGAAAATCCACCAGCATTACCGTTTTCTATACCAGAGCCCGATCCATAGCTAGCTGTAGAATAAGATCGTTGGACACCACCACTGCTGCTTCGTTGACGAAGCTCCTGGTACATTTTCTGTTCGACTTGATCAGTTTTTTGAACGATATCAAATGCTGTACGTCCAAAACGTCTCACTAATGCTGCTTTATCTGTTCTTTGCCACGTAGGATTCACAGTTGTATCGAGTACTTCGATTGGAGCTGTACAATCAACTGGCAAACCGTTGAGAGCTGATCCATTATTTACTTGACCTGCATTAGTGAATGATTCTTGGAAGCTACCACCACTTTGTTGTACATTTAGTTGACCACCTGATTGACTGTGTTGAAATTGATTGGGAACAGTTACATCTATTACGGGTCCTTGTGCTTGATAACCGTTGGATACTTCATGCACTGAGCTAGTAGCATATTGATGCTCTTGCTGCGTTGGCATATAACCATAGTTAACACCACCTGCATATTCAGGACAACGACCACCGTATGCGACAGGTAAGTTGTCTCGATAAACGTATTCCTCTCTAATCACCTTAGAACCACCTTGCGCTGCTGCTGGAGTACGTATTGGCACAGGAATTGGACGTTCACGGTCGATGATAATTGGCCGCTGTGTGACAGGTACTGGCCGGTCAACAAGTACAGGTCGTGCTACATGTATGATTTGTGGGCGTACAATCACACCTATTGAGGAAAGAAAATGCAACAAAAGTATTCTATAGAAAACATAATAAATGTAAAACTTACGTTCACGTGGAACAAATACTGGTTTAATAACAGGAACGTAGACATTGCGTGGAACATAGACAATTTGCGGTGCTCCACTTGTAGGTTGGTGAGTAATAGGAGCAGGACCAACATGTGGTACTGTTGCTGTACCTGATGTTGTTGTTTGCTCAGCTATTACAGAAACAAAACAAAAAATGTTTACATAATAGATTTTTGTATATCATTTACTTTGTCGTGGCATGTAGAAGACTGGCTGAATAGGTTGTACGATGACTCGTACTTCGCCACCACCACCACTATGATGATGTATTACTTCCTTTTCTTTTTGTTTTGAATAGTTTGGATCAATTGAAGTTTGAGTACCACCACTCTGTCCACCAGTATTTGATTTACTACCTCCAGTTTGTATTATACGTCTGGATAATTTTTCATAGGAGGAAAAGAAGGAAAACAATTATTTCGAAACGAAAACGAGAAACATGTGAAAACACTTACTCGATAGCAGAAAGAATTTCACTACGAAACTTTTCAAAATTGAATGTTACACCTTCTTTTGAATTTCGTGTATGTGAGTGATGTGAATCATGCGAATGTGAACGCGAACGTGATTCTTTGCGTACTTCAGACTTGTAAAAAGAATTTTTTGCCATCGATTTCATAATTTTAATTATGAATTCTTACCTTCGATCGTTTCTGCCAAACTTCAATTATTTTTGCTCGACCTGTAGTTCGTTCTTCGCCATGTTCACTAGAATCAAAAACAGAACAACGAGTAGCATGCTGTTTGATGTTGACACGTTTGAAGAATTACCTATATTCTCCAAATGCAGCACCACCACCACTTCCACCTGATGAATTAGCACCTTCATCACCACCACCAGCACCCGATTCAACAATGTAATCAGCTATCAATTGTCCTTGCGATGGAAAAGGAAGACTTGCTGCTAAATTGGCGAGTCCACCTCCTGAAGCAGATCCTCCATATGAACCAGCTAATGAATAAGCATCAAAATATACACACACATACATACATATATATATATATATATTAATATTAATCAATGGAAAGGTATAAATTTCAGAAAGACTACTCACCAGCACCACCAAAACCTGCCTGACCCATACCAGCACCGCCGAATCCTGATTGAGCCATACCAACACCACCGAATCCTCCTTGAGCCATGCCAGCACCTCCAACTACTTGTGCAGTGTATGCATTACCACCAGATGGACATGGCCCACAAGAACCAGCAGACATAATGACTTGTTGCCATCCAGGTGGACAAGGACCCACACTGGGAGTTGGTAATGGCATAGGTTGTGGTACTGGTGGAGCTACTGGTGGTAGATTACCAATAGTTCGACCACGAGATCGTGAGCGAGTTTCTTTCTCCAGGCATTGAACTTCTATCTTGCCCTTGAATTCATAACCCGGTGGTGGTTTTTGTCGATGTGGACTGTTTTCGCCACGTTCAATAAAGATTAGATCCTTATCTATATGGCCATAGCCCTCAGAACCACCGGATACTTGACCTTGAACTTGACGCGAGTGATAAATGCGTCCGGAACTAAAATTTTCACCGCTGTGCTGACGACGACTTTCTCGTTGAGTAGTTTGCATTTCTGTAGCTTCATCTGCAACTGGTGAAACTGATGAACGTCCTTGTCGTTTTTGTGGTGCTTCGTTACTTAATACACTAGAGGAACGTTGACCAATTAGTACTCTTGAAAAAGAAGAATTTTATATAGTAAATTTAAATAAAAAAAAGAAATAATTGACTCATCAGTTCTATTACAATCAGACTTACTCTGGTACTGCTTGTGACTGATTATCAGTTGCTTCGACAGCATGTTTACCATGATGATGACGATGATGACGTCGATGATGTTTTGTTACGGCAGCAACACCAAGCTGACTTTGATCATGAGCATTACCTCGATATTGATTTGCTAGTCCATAATGACTGCCTGGATATTTTTGTTGTGGATAAATATCACCGACACCATAGGGAACACCATAGCCTGCACCAATTGGTGCACCTACATATAAAATAAAATGTTGTTTTTTTCAATTTTGAAGTAAAATTTGTTGCTTACTTTGTTGTACCTGACGATGTCCCCGATCTACTTTATGTATGGATTCATCACGACTCAATGGTGATTCATCAATAAGGCCATGTTTATTTTTACGATGATGGTGATGATGGCGACGATGATGAACATTTGCTGCTTGTGCTCCATATTCAGGAGCAAGAGGAACGGCACCAGCATTGGCGAAGCGCGGATCAATCATTATAAATAAACAGAGATAAATTCAAGTAAATCACCAGATCGATACAATAGTGAATCTAGAAAAATAAAACAAGGATGCACAAAAAATGGTCTCTTTTTAACATTCATCTTATGTCGAGGTTTTTTTCTTCATCACTCGATCATTTGATGATCGAGGACGATGTTCAAAGTCACCGATTTGAAGTTTTTCCATGCATACTGTGTTAATATATTATTGCGCCAATGTAAGTACATATTGACTTCCCTCTGGCGATACGGCCATCACCATACGAATAATTACCCAGGAACGATATAAAAAAAATCTTTTGGGGCTCGTTTATGATTGTCAAATAACCTTTGCACATCCCGGTCAACTATGCGCACATAAAAAAAATATACCTTTACGTGGCCAAATTGTAACATATGAAATACAGTCTCTTCTATGATTGCTATGAAACAATAGTAACAATCATAGTCCTCAATAATACCAAAATGATGCATTTTTGAAATAGATGCAACTTTGGACTAGAGAGAACAAGAAATACGTATATGAAACAAAGTAAAGAGACAACTACTACCTCATACTTTGCATTTTACCTCATGCGTATCGATTGAGATGCAATGAATATAAGAGGGATAGAGAGAGAGAGAGAGAGGAAGAAAAAGAAGCAAGACAAGGCAAGAGACAAAAAAAATAAAATATGAAAGACATAGATTTATGATCTTATCATGACGATGGTGACCAATGCAGAACAATTTATTTATACATCTGCAATTGAAAATCAGCTAGATTTTTTTCATTTACCAAAATTTGAACCTTTACTAAACACCTATTTGTCGGGATCACAATAGAAAAGTATGTGTTTCACGCTCATTACAACTATTGATACTCCATTTGATAAGAAAATATTAAAAAGAAGAAAGAGAATACTTATTTAATATTGCCAATGATGTTGTTATTCTTTACTAGCATAGAATCTCATTTTACACCCTATTGCTAACTTCTTAAGGCTAATATAAAAAGAAATATATAAATGATACAAAAATATTTACTTGTAATTGGCAAGGTCTTTCAAAAAGAATCATTAGTACTATGAAATATTACATCAGATAAATACACCTGATTGAGTGAATGAATGATGAAAACGTCAGATATGTCTATACATAATACGAAGATATCTAATAAAAATATCAAATAATACATTTCATTGCCATGATCAAAAACAGCTGACTGTCCGATATTCACTATACCTAATCTGTAGATCTACAATAGCGATGGTGCATGCTATTTTTGCTGAGCTGGAAATAAAGGTCATAATTTAGCTCTGCACTGTATAATTTGTCTATTTGTATCTGTAATGTAAATGATAAATCCATGACGGCGAAAAGATGATACGATCAATGTCTGAAGCTTCCATTTAAACCTCAATTTTGTCAGTAAATCTGTCGGCGTCTAATGTAGAAAAGAAAAATGGAGGATGACTACCTAGTGATCAAAAGTCGTTTATTACGATACGTCTATGTGTGCATATACCTATTTATAATTATCGTATCGAATAGTGCACGTATGATTATGATATATTAGACATGGCTCATCTGTATGTTTAAGACGGGTTGGCTAATTCACTAGAATAACTTTTTTTCTCTTTCTTTTTTTTCTTTTTTTGTATTTGTCAGTATGAGTGAGATGCAGTGAAGCATGACCAGCTCTATCCTTGCATATATATATATATATATATATATATTGTTCTTGTCGTGGATTTTTTTAACGAACACCAAAAATGCAGGGCTAGAAGAAAAAGAAACATGATAAAACCAACATTATTTGTGGTCAGGCGATAACACTCAAACCAATGAAAAATAGCTAATAAAAACCATCATTTACCTAGCTATTCAAGATACCAATCATGCGTTTACCAATATGTAAATGTATAGGGTGAAATCTGATTAACAAATAAATAAAACAAAACACAAAAATATATAAATTCGGATCTATTTTTCTGTTTATCCAAGCTTATATGTTAACTCAAATAAACAAAAAAATAATTACAATTATTATAAGAAATGACATATCTTATGTTTGATAGTTAGCGTCGATGTAAAATAATCAAAAGGTGCATTCGTGGCCAAGGTCTTTGACGTATATTCATCTTATCATACTATAATAGCTCGAACATTTTTCTTTTGCTAAATATATATTGACAAACACTCATGTTATCAATCATCCGAAGGCCTTGTTAAAATAATATTTCTTGCTAGGTTTTATTCAGCTCAATTCGTAGATTTTGATAGAAAAGACAAAATATATTCTATAGTTATATATTAAAGTTTATTGTTCTTTAAGAAATTAAAAACTAGCTATTTCTATGAATCGAATCAGCGTTTCATTCCATCAACTTTTGTTTTACAATCCAGTCTTTTCATAATCACTTATTAATAGGAATAATATGAAATTATCTCATTGATCATGTATTTATGTTTCGCTAAACTTAAAGCTACAGCCATTGCTTTTATTTTCTCTATCCAACTTCATCACGACGCATAATGATGATTATTTGTTGCAATCATTGGAGAAAAATATGATTTCGATTCTTGAATAAAATTCAACTTAACTAAATTAGTAATAATAATAAAAATGATGGAAACTAAAACACAATGTTCAATCATAATACAAAATTGAAGATGATCTCGATTGGCAGATTTTTCTACAATAGAATGATCAAAATATTCGAAAGATTTTTGTTCATAATACATATCCTATAGATTGTTTTGTTCTTCAATATTTTCATCATCAATTTGGTTTATCTTGTTATATTCTCTATCTAAATAGATTTCATCTGAAACACAGAATATTATAGGCAGCCTATTCTACAAGACACCAAAGTCATACAGCCTTGTGTAATCTAATAAACTTATGGTCTCTTAGTAGCATTTGACTTACCATTCCATCGTCATAAATAACAGCCAGCACAGTATATCACATAGAAGCAACAAATGTTTCGATAGAAATTTTATTTAGTTCAGGTTAATTCAGATAGATTTAAAGATCAAAAATTTTTATCATCAAGGTAAGATTAAAATAAATTACATTTGACAGTTCATAGGGCAAATTCTAGAAGTAGAACAAAACTTATCCTTCCTCATTGCCGCTTTGTTCATATTGATCAGACAATGAATCTTATATCTGCACATTTGCTCTATGCTCATTGTGAATATCCCAATGTTCTTTTTATTGTGTTCGTGTCATTTCTGTCAAAAAGCGTGTGATAAATTTACTGACGCAATAGTATAGTCAAAGACGATTGTATGAATAGTATGCCTATGACATTGTCAGTCATATCTAGACAAGTTGCATCTTTGTCAAAAAGACAATAGCACGATGATCCTATGGGTTCAATACAGAAAGTTCATTTTTAAGACAGAAACCGTAGTAGAATAAACTAAATTGTTACTTGTCGTTTCACTCACTTAAAATACATCATTATTTTGTGAAACGATTTTTATCAATCATGATTCAAGCCATGCTATTAATATCTAATTCTTTTAAAATTTCAACTGTTTCTCTATTTGTCATGACCTAAATGTTTGATATTTTTCTAACATGATATTTGACAAGCTAAGATTTTCATATGTTTGCTGTAACCATTGTAAAAACAACAACAACAACAACAATCAGCATAAAGAAAGAATTTAAAACTAGAAATTGTCATCGTATTGCGCAAATCTATATTTAATATTAACTCGAATAACTTTGAATTTTATTGTAACATATTCGCATTAAAATGATCTTACTATCCAAATATCATCAAGCAAAATAGATGACTCTACGAAAGTAGCATTGATTTCTTTTTAAGCTAGTTTTATTAATTTTTGAATACGAGATTCTTCTTTATTTTACTAGCATTACTGTTTCATGTGAAATCAAATTATTCGCATTGACATAAATAAAAAAAATATATTTCTTCTTGAAACAATCAAATAAATCATTCATCTGTTTTTTCTAACATTTAAACCAGTAATGACTCACGTCGAAAATATGTAAACTTTTTCGTACTATTTCACCAACATATTGACTTGACGTGAGTGAAGCCTAAAGCATATTAAGTATGACTCAATAGAAATAAATCGAATTGCTAATTATAAACCAATGTATTGATTTAAGTAATTGAATTTGTTTGCTTTTGTTTCATATCACACTATTGTACTGATGTAAAAGAACGGCTACCAAAAATATTCTTTTTTTAATGTTAAAGCAAGTTCGATTTTTCCTGTTGAAATAGTCTGTTTTTCACAAGAGAAATACACGTCATTCGTTTAAATAATAAGGTTTGTTCACGATTTGTTGTTAGTAGGAATTATAATAGTTATTGTTATTAAAACAATCATCGTCCAAAGAATTACTCTAAACAAATCCATCTGAGCGAATTTTATCCAAAAAAAAAACATTTTTCATATCGTTTTAGTTTTTTCAAATATACTTCATAGAAAAACTTACACGATGAATTAAGTACTATACATCTTTACTAGGACTACGACAGCTCCAGCTCACCAGAACTATTCAAACAGTTCTTTGGAACTGAACTGAACTTTTCGAACAGTTCAGCTCAGCTCAAGAGAACTGCCAAGAGCTATCCTATAGGCTATAGGGTACCTTTAGGACTAGGACTACGACAGCTCAGCTCAGTTCGAAAGAGCTGTTCTGAACTGTTCAAACAGTTCAGCTCAGTTCGAGAGAGCTGTTTGAACAGTTCACCAGTTCGGAACTGTTTCCGAACTGTTATAGTCCTAATCTTTACAATGGTGATGGCAATAGTTATTAAAGTTCATTAAGGATTCTTTTTGTTATTTTGAGAATATTTGTAATAAGAAAAAAATAGAGAAATGTATGAATATTTGAATTTACATCTTTGCATAACTATGATAGCTATTAATTTTTGTCGAAAGAATAAAGTTACTAATTATAGGTGATACAAAACCAAGTACGACATATGTAAATCTTGTTGGTTGCAAATGCTCATGTGATGATAAACGAGGTGACAGTGACTTTAACAGTGTCATTTTAATAGGGAATAAATTAAGTATTTGATATTAGATATGTAAATGTATAATATTTGATGAATATAAATAAAACGTCTTCGGCTGAGTCATTGCTTTTTTAAACTAAATAAAAAACAGATGTGATAATTTACTCTAGTGTTGGAAAAGTATTACACATATTTATTTCATCGTTATGACGAATCTGATATTTTACTTCGACTTTTTGTGTACTCAAAAAGTGAGTACACTAGAATCGGTCAGTGTGTCCGGTCGGCCGGCCGTAGGCACGATAACTTTTGAAAGCCTCATCCAATTACCATGAAATTTTGTACACAGAATTATCTCATCAATATCTCGGTCGAGTTCGAAGATGAGAAGGATCCGTCAAGTAATGGGTAAATTATCGAAAAAATTGTCATTTTTGACCAGACCATCCCTGAGGAGGGGTACAGGGAGTTTTTATTCGAAAAACAAATTTTTCTCAGAATTACTCACAACATATATAAATCGACTCAGTTTTTAACGCTGATTCCGAATCTGATATTAGTTTTGAACTAAACCGTAGCTTTCTGATGAAACATCGCCTGAGAAACGTCTCAAAATGCACCAAAAATGCATCCAGAAATCAAATTGCCTAGTTTCTCATGATAATTTTGGTGTTCAGACATTCTAGAAGGACTCGTATGTCCCATGCACTTTTTGCAGTGCGCATAACTCTCGGATGAAATCCGAAGTTTCCTCATTTATTTATATTTCAAAAGTGTTTTGAACAAGAAGTAAATAAATATTTTAAATTACCAGTGTTTCAAATTAAAAAAAGAAGAATGTTATTATTCTAGTACAGGGAATACAATACATAAGCTAAACTGATACAAAGAATGCTAATGAAAAACCACAATGTGGCGTAAGATTCATTTTCTTTTGGTCATCACTTCTTAATTCAACTTGAACTTCAATTAGCGTTGAACATAAGTAAAAGTGTATTAAAAACAGAAAAATATTCATAAATTCTATTGAATATAAAGATCTTTGAATATAAATTTAAATATTACTATTGATTATTGATGTTTATATATATAAACAAAAAGTTCGTTTAACATGTAGCTAACGAAAAACGCAAAAAAAAACAGTCTAGAATAATATTGTGATCGAGCATTAATTTCAAATACTATTCTATCTATTACTTGAGCGATTTATTTGAAGATTCGTATTGTGACAATCAATTCAGAATCACAACGTTGTATTTACATTTTGTATACGTTACAATCAGAGAATGAAAGAAAAACAAATATATCAACAGCGATGTCGCATGGATAGAAGAATGATCAATGTAAAGGACAACTAGAAAAATAAACTAAGTATATCATAAATAATATGTTAGATCTAATAAAATGCATCGAGTTTAACATCTGACATAAATAAAATTCAGAAATGAAATCAAGAATAGTAAAAATTTTTTTTTTCTTCGATTTTATATTGATTGTATAGGAGTGATTGATTGTTTTTCCGTCAATGAAGATGATGATGATTGTAATTTAGTAACAGGTTTTGTTGTTGTCGTTGTTGTGATTATTGAATCATCATCTCTCGGTGTATCAAATGTTTGTTTTAAAAATGCATAAACTGGATATGTAAATGCATTTGTTGGAATTGCACGAATAGTACAAGGTACAAAACCTCGAGTAAATACTCGCCATCCTTCAGTACGAAGCGATTTAACCGTACAATCCCATACATTTTTATAGACATGTTCTCTTGCTGCTTGATATCGACTTTTAATAACATCAAATGGATATGATACAGTCCAAGCAGCAATACCAGTAAAAGCACCGCCTATTAAACTCATATACATAGGCATATCAGCTTCTTTACCAGTTGGAGAAAAATGTGAAACAAAAAATTGCCATGCTGGAAAATAAGCAGCAAACGATGGAATATCACGTGCTAGAGTCATCGATAAACCACGCATTACACCATATCGAAAACCTTGGCGAGTGTAAGATTTGTTCAAACAGTCGATTGGACCCTTATATAAATTTGTTGATAATGTAAATAATTTTCTTTGTTGTCCAATACCTTGCATTTGTAAGCGTGTTTTAATAAGTTCAATTGGAGAACAAATAGAAGCTTGTACACCACCTGCAATAGCGCCAGTTGCTGCTAATGCTGCATATGTGTTAGGATCTTCAAATAAGACTTTTGAAAAATTTTGAACAGAAAATACAACTCCATTAATAAGTGCAACACCAAACATAGGGGATGACATGCCTTTGTAAAATCCTAATACTGATTCTTGCTTGGCAATTTTAATAAAACAATCTAATGAACCAGAATACAATCGATGACTGAGTGTTTGTGTTTGAAGACGAACTTTAACTGTATCAAATGGATAACCGGCGATTGTACCTGTCACACCAGCTACAAAACCAAAGCCAAAATCCAAGGCCATGATAACCAAAACACGATACTACAGCGTGAGAAAATGTTAAAAAGTTTCAGTCTGAAAATATGTGTAAATTACGAAATGCTATGCTATACATTCCCAAAAACAAGTCGGCAGCAGAAAGAAAAAGAAAAGAATCAGCAGCCAGACACACCTCTCTTTTTGCGCTCGTTTTATTCTTCTCCTATATCGATCGGCGCAATAGGGGGAGACACAAAAATCAGACCATGCCAACGTTCTGCGTGTTTATGTGCACATGACATGACGCATTAATTGAAGAGTATGGCTGTTGCTTTTTTGTTGACGTCATTGGGAGGCTTTTTTCTCAATTGTATTTTCGTTCTGCATTTTCTTATTGTTTCCAAGCTGTTAAAAACAAGTAGCATTACAATCGTCATCACGTGAAAGAAAACAAAAAAAGCATAAATCACTACTTGTTTTGTCCATATGTTTGTTTTTATCCATTTAATTTGTTCAGAAACTTCTAGAATACTAACATGTGACTTAAAACAACACTTTATGGTTAAAAAAAGAATGAATTTGTTGAATTTTTTTAACACAGAAAGACGAAATATTCCAAATGATCTTGACAGAGAAACAGTGTGTTTTATTGTCCAGAAATTAATGTTGCCAAGCGAAGAGAAAAAAATCTGGATTTTTTCGTCTAGAAATACTTCGTTCCGAATGCAACAGTAAAAAAGTAAAATAAAATTCCTATGTCAACGCTAACTACGTAATATCCGTTGTAATAATAAAAAGAAAAATAACATAAACGAAAATACTATAATTATATTCATGATATAACTATTTTATTTATACTCATATATATATATGTATCTTTATCTCGCCGATAATACGCACACATATTGCTATTTTTACACTTTATATATTTCATGGATCAACGACGAAAAATAGATAAACATATTTTATTGCATGTTTCTTCAATAATTTATTGGTAATTATCGTAGAAATTTTTGAAATTCAAAAACTATCCATTTTAAAATTAAATACCATTGAACTTATGAAAATATTCAAACTGCGCAATGGTATAATTCGAATTGTTTCTTTTACACCGAAAAAAAACCGTATTACTCATTAAAAACCGTATTACTCATTAAAAACCGGTTAACTATCATACATTAAAAAGTTGTAAAGCATGTTACATCAGTACTACATAAATGTGTAAATTAATAATTTAAGTATTTCTAAAAATAATCATATTAAATTTACATTCATATACTTTATATAGAAAAAAAAATAATAAATGCTTTTTCTATTGACTATTTATCTATTTCTTCGAATATTCTTTGAAGATCTACTCTATCTCAAACAGGAAAATACAAACGATAAATATAACAAGAGAACTTCTATTCTTACCTTTTAAAATAGCTTTATAAAGTTTTTGTATGTATCTAACTACTACAGTTTATGGAACATGATCTGAAAATAAAATTTGAAAATATTAACAATTGTATATCTCTAATAAACATTTTATTTTGTTTAATCCTCTTAAATTTTGTTATTACAACCAAATCAGCTAATTGAAAAAATATGTTTTGATATTATCGTTTTTTCTGTATTATCTATATAATAGTAATAATATTTTCATTTCTGTTTTTCGATGTGCCCACCAATCACAAAACGAAATACAAGCATCAAATCAACCTTATAACGAACACCTTGAAGCACGAAACACTACGCATGGATGATTATTCCTTTGAGTACAATATAAATATCGAATAATAGCTTATTTTTAACAATAAATTACTACAACTACGACGAAAGTTGAATATGCTTCGATGCTCAAGAAAATTTGCTCATCGAAACTTCGTGATAATTAGTATCGTTCTTACATGTTTTATTGTATCAAGAGTTTTTCCGGGGCAATCATCCGTAACTGAGGAGCAAGCTATTATACAGCACAAGCATCATATTTTCAATGCATCAGATTCGTTGGTAATAGTGAATTTAATTGATCAATTTCTTCATAAAAACGATCCAAACGAACGTGATGAACTTTGGTCATTAATTGTACAGGACTGGTTAAACTCATTTCAAATGTACTCAGAAAGTGCTGAGATTATCTGTACAACATCATCATTTGCATCATCGCTTGCTTTTATTCACCAACATCTATATGACTATGCAGAAAAATTACTTTCAAAAAATAAAGATCTTCAGAAACATTTGATTGGTTTTGGCGTTTTCTTTGACTATGACGTGAAAGAAATTCGTTCAAAATCTCATGATATTTTACGTAATCTGTTTCTTTCAATTTGTACCTATTATGAATTGATTGTATTAATCATAAAAGTTCAACTTGCATTAATTGAATTAAATATTAATTATTTCATCGGAAAAAATACATTATTAGGTTCTCTACGCCATCATGATATTATACCATGGTCTTCTATTGTTGAATTTAGTCTACCATTGTATAGTAAAACAAAATTTATAGATAATATTAATAAAAAATATGAACTTGTATTACAAGAAGTCACTAATGCATATATTAATCAGAAACAAATTGGATTGGTTTATAAAGTTTCTAGCGGATCAAAACCGTGGCCACAAATTGAAATTTATTTTTATGAAGAAAATTCTACACAAATATATGATTCATATATCAATGGCAATGAATCAGCTGTGAAAATCGGTTATTTAAAAAAAGAGGACGTTTTTCCTATTCAACTTCGTCCATTTGGACCATTACTTCTGCATAGCATTCGTAATCCTCAAGCCATGATTTCTATTCAAACATTAAATACTTGTGAAAGTTTTCCATGGAATCATCAATTAGAAAAGCAAACAGATAAAAATGATCATATTCAAATGTCATGTGAACGATTACATAGAGTTTATTCATTTGTTGAAACAAGAGCTAGTTGGCGACGAGATTATTGTGAAGAAAAAATTACAACTAAACGTTTACCATATAGAACTTTGAGTTACTTTAGATACAATTGTTCAGAGAATACCCTCAATCAATTCCAATAATCGGATTAGTGAAAGAAAAACGAAGAGAACAATTATTTTATCTTTATAAAAATAAGAAAAAAAATAGAATATTTGACTGAAAAGCTTTAGGGTTTAATATTAAAAATTAAAAAAGTATGTGTTTAACTCATTCATCGTTCATTTTGGGGTGTTGGCATGAAGTAAAACTAATGATAATTTTCTCATTCGTCTTCCATGTTGAGAAAACACAGGGCGATTTTTCCCTCTTTCCCGCCCCCCCCCCTCTCTCTCTCTCTCTGCAACTCTCGATGATCAAACGATAACAACTATAGAGAAGAAAAGAGAAAATTTGTATTTATATCTACGGCAGAGCATAGGTGATTAAAAATTGTCGTGTCGCAATTCAAAAGGTGTTCTTCAATGCCCAAATCAGACTTTGATTTTACTTTCAAAGTAGGAGTCACTAGTTAGATAAATGTTTATTCCATCGAAAATAATTTATAGTTTTTTCATCCACCGCACCGTACTGTACCCTTTCGGAATGGTCTTTTGGATACACGTACCAAACATACAATAGCACAAGATCGTCTTGTTGTTGCTGAACAACGTCTTATTGATGCTGAACGACGAAAATCTACAACTAGTATTCAATTACTTGCATTCGAACAAAAACGACTTGAAAAACGTTTAGAATCACTTTGTAGTAATTTAGACTCGAATTTTACTAGTCGACCTTTAAAAATGCGTGGTCGTTCGACTAGTGAAGTTATTTTCCGTAATATACGACGAACAAGCTCGTTGGCCGGATCATTAGCGATCCATAATCCAAAATTATCTGTAAGTTTATATAGTAGCAATCAAAATCTATTAGCACTACCAAAACTTGATGATATTGAACGACGTTCATCGACATATTCTGATGGTGATACGACGGAAAATACTTTTTCTACTAGCGATATGGATAGTGGTGAAGAAGTAGAACATAAAGTTAGAAAAAAAACGAAAACTAATCGTAAAATCACTTATTCTAGAAGGATAGTAACAAAAAAGAAGACACTTCCAAAGCTTGTTTTTAATCAAAATAAACTATCACTACCTATTGTTGCTGTTATTCCACCTGAAGAAGACGTGTTATTTCTTACACAATAAATCTCTTGTTTTTCAATTATTTGTAAACATTAATTATAAGAAGAAGAAAAAAATAAAAAGCTTTGTTGTTTTATTTTTTGAAACTGATCAAATATACACTTGTTTACTAACAAATAATGTCGAGTTTTTAGTATTTAAAAGAAAAAGAGTCATTTAAATCATGCACTGGAGGAAGAAAGGGATTTTTTTTCCATTTCATTAAATCAAAAAGATAGTTCTATTGTATTTACATTATACAATTGCTGCTCAATCAATTAGAGTTCCACTTTCTCTTTAGAAGAAATCGATTTGAATAGGAGAAAGATGAAAATAGAAAAAAAGTTCACACATCATCATACAAGAAAACTTACTAAGTAGCAAAAAGAAAAAAACTAATGAGTCGTGAATAAGAGTGTGGGAGTTTGCCTTCTAAACGGGCACACTACCGCCAAGAATCGTTTGATAGATAACCTTGCCGATGCATAACATGAAGTCTAGTATAATTGTGTTGTTGTAGGGCTACTCTAAAAATAATTATAAGAAAATTTTTGAGACCCTATTAACATATGACATCAATCGATAGCATTCGAGTTTTACTCCACTGTTAAATATTATGCTACGGTTTCCATGTGAACTATTCGATATACGGATATGTTCATAAACGCGACTTATCATTGTGAAGTTTGAATGTGAATTGCATTTCTCTAAAAAAAAGATAACTACTCTATATTATCATTACAATATTATCATTCATTTGTGAATATATGCAAAACCGTTAAAAATTTTAATTAAACTCTAAGAAAATAAATAGTCAAGTAATCATAGGTTTCCTAAAAAATCATTTTTTTCGTAATTTCATCATGGTCTTAGAGTTTGCGTGATCCGGAAATCAGTATTTTGAATTAAAAGTCTTTTTCGTAATTAAAATTCCTTTTTTATTTGTTCTAAAAATTTATTGCGTAGTAAAAACTCAGATTTATTGGTGCCTGTTGTAAATAATGTCTATTTGAATACGAGAAGAAAATTTTCAAGGACTTTTGTTCTGCGACATAAACGTAGATAGCTAAATAAAATCATAGCAACCAACAATAAGACGATCTTTTAAAGGTCACTCTGAATTTCGATAAGAGAAGTCCATGAATTTTATTCTTCGTTCATTAAGATGAGTAGCTAGGACGAAAAATTGGTGTGAACGTACGATGGAAAGAATTCCGGTCCAGTGGTGTAGAACGAAAATCATAGCTAATAGAGGCAGTAAAATTAGTAGAGAAGGACAAAGAAAAAGCATGAATAATTAACATAAGTGAATGCAGAGTGAAGAAAAGAAAGAGTGAAAAGCAGGATTTGAAAATAACTTCACTTCTCTATTGGAAAGAAACAAAAAAACTCGACTCCTGAAACGTCTAACAAACATACGAACGATGAGTCAGACCAATTGAATCAAAGCAGATCAATCTGTAAACATGTGTTAGTGATAAATCTATCTTTGCATTCAAATATATCTCCTTTGACTTCTCAAAACAAATAGTATTCAAAAGAATGAGACGTAATAATGGGGTCGAAATCACTTAAAACCATGGGATTTAGATAATCTGTCCGTCATTGCCTGTCAACGATAATACTGATAAAATATTTTTCTTTTTCATACGGATAGTATTAAACTTCATCAATGTTATTGTGGAACTCTGTTTTTCTCTTAATTTTCTGTTGTCATAATTTGTATTCAATTTCAAGGTCAATAAAATGTATGCATTCATATCAAAAAACCCCAAACTGAACTCACTACTGAAGAAATAATAATATGTCCGAATTAGCGTATTCGTAAAAATCTAGCGCAGACTATGTTTCTACATTGTACTAGGTACAGTAATGAGTTTAGGCCATTGTTAATTATATAGATATCAACAATCTGTTTTCAACAGACAAATCTCAATTCTGTGCTAATTGAGCGTCCGTCGGCATTGTATCAAAAACCAATATAATTTATAATATTTTAGTACAGAATTTTGCAAGCGGAAGTAACTGATTTCAGATAATTTCGGCTATTAAAATTAGTTATTTATCCCTTGGCAGTAGCTCAAACGAATAAACTCGTCCTAGATCTGATTTTAACGACAGCTATGCAGTTATGCGAACTGTAAAAGTCAAATCTGTAAATTTCTTGAATTAATTAAATTAGTATATCGGTTCTAACTGATAACAGTGAGATGAAATTCTAGACAATAAGTCATTATACAGAATTTACAAGTAATCACCTAGAATCACTAAACTTGTAAAGTTTCTTTGGACATAAGAAAGTACGAATTGATTTTCGTCTTAATAAAGAAAAACGGATAGTAAGCGTATTTGCCACAAATAGCTTCTTAAAATGTTCAATAAGTGTATCGATTTCGTTCTGTTGAAGAAAAAAGCTAAGTTCTTACTTCACAATTCACAGTTTATATTCCTAATTAATAAAAACGACTCAAATTTCATTATAGATTTTCCAAAAGAAAATTCGATACATATTAGACTATGCAACTCTGTAATAATGCTTAGATGAAAATCATACCAATCGTTTCCAAGATTGTTGTTAGACGAGAACGAGAAAGAAACATAACTATTGAAATTGCTGCCAAACATCTGAATTACTATTTCAGTAAATTTCTATATCAGATTTTTATGTAGTAAATAATATTGTTCGGATTATTCGAACATTATATTACTTACATGTGAATATACACTGAAGAAGCTCATATGATTAACGAAACAACTACGCATATGTAATGATCAATTAATTAGAATGGCTACGAACGATGACATAAATATTATTTGAATCCCTTATCGGATTATCTCTCAACAAAAAATATTGACGTTTATGAACAACTTCTATTGCAATCAAGTTAAAGCCAGAACGAGCAGCTTAGATCCATATCAACCTGGAAACATTTCAATATAAATTCAGTATTTGAGTGCACACATATTTATGTATTATTATTGAATGTAAAAACACAGAACTCATAGTTCTTTTGTAGTATACATTCGATTATACTAGAAAACAGAACAGTTTGTTCAATCTATTTTTATCCTGTGTGTTCTTAGTTATTTGAATTTATTTTTATCAAAATTAATCAAAAAAAAATGAATTTCTTCATAAGAGTATTTGGTGCTAATGAAAATAATGATTCAACATTACTTGAAGTTTTCTTTAGTACTTTTGAATTTGAAAAGATCTATTGATAACCGCTTCCGACCTTTATTAAGAAATTTTCAAAATTTAGCAGGCTTATAATTGATTTGTTTTCAATTTCTGATAACCGCGATGAGATGAGATAAGATTTGAAAGGCGAGTTAATGGACTAAAAGCTTCAATGATATCATACTATTGATTTTTGGAAGATCATTAAAAAAAAAGAAAGAAGTATTGATAAATTTGAGAGTTTCAATAGTTGAATAGGTTTATTTTACGAAATAATTTGATCACAAATTGCTTATTCAATAAGAAAAATTCAAATAAAAATACTCTCAAGTGAATACTCAACATGAAGCATTGAATAGAATATTGCTGATTAAAAGGAAAAGAGATCTTTTTTCATTCGTCAAATAGAAGTGCTGAACTATAACAGAAAATAAAGTAATATTAAACAAGAATAAAACATTTATAAATGGGGAAAACATTAAGAATTTTATCGAAAATAAAGAAAAATGACTGTAAAATCGATTGATGTATAACTAAAAAACATTCTATTTAAAAGCCAGAGAGAATATCGACTAATCAGAACGCGGTATTGAAACCGCTTCCTGTATATGAGAATCCCCAGCGACACTACCATCAGTTGCATAAATTCCTTCTGTTGTCGCTTGTGTTAATACATCTGACTGAGCGAGGCTTCTTCCACTACCGAAACCGTTATGAGTTAACAATTGATCATCATCTTCTCCTATTGGTATTGTGAGTCTTTCAGAAAACAACGAATTTGTATTAGAATATAAATCATCGTGTTCACTGATAGGTATGTAACCTGAACGTGATGGATATCGTCGATTATAAATATATACCATAGTAATCATAGCTACACCAAGTATTAATAGACAAGCAGGCCCAATAGCAATACCAATAATTCGACCGATTGTCCACCACGATTTACTCGGTATATCACTACCACAATTCATGTCATCTGGATTGAGTTTAATTAATAGTTTTCCTTTAAAACTTAATGGAGTAGCACATGTTAATAGTGACGCATCTGGGACGAATTGAGGAGATGTTTTTAGAAAACGAATAAACCATAAAGATAGGCAACAATCAAATGTATTATTAGCTAAAAAAACTTGAACATTTGTAGTATTTATTTTAGACCATCGAGATAAAGGCGATAATTCATCAATAATTGATATTAAATTATGTTTGAATGAAAAGATTTTGATTTTTTCTTGCGTTGCTAATTGTTGGGGAAGCGAAGTAAATTGATTACCATCAAGTTTAATGGAGGAGAGTGAAGGTAAATTTGATAAAAATTCACAAGATTTTAATTGATTATTTTTCAGAGATAATGCTTGAAGTTTTTTTAATTGAACAAAAGAATTTTGATCGATCTTAGAAATACTTGAACTATCTATACTTAATTTAGTTAGTTGAGAATCGCGTAAACTGAGAAAATCTTCTACATTGATCGAGCGAATTTTATTATTGCTAAGTGAAATTGTTTTTAAAAGTGAGCTACTATACGAGGAAGGAAATTCAGCAGACACTAACGAATTATCTTGTAAGGAAAGGAAACGAATTTTTGCTTGATTAAATGGTGGAATAGTTCCAAGTATATTTTGATTAATACTTAAATCGATCAAAAGAGATAGATTTTCAATTTTCGCACGATCAGTTACTAGAATAGGAAAGAGTATACTAACTGAATATATATATATATATATATTTATTAAATCAATATCTACCTGTATCAAATTTAAGTTGATTACGAATGAGTGTTAAAGTAATAACTTTTGAAGGAAAATCGATCCCATCTAAATTCTTCCAACCTTTGGAGTCACAATGTACAAGAGTGTCACCATCAGAGCATTGGCATTGTTTGTTAGCGCAAACATCACCACTAAACACTCGATTGATGATTAAATCAGTCTTAAAAACAAGATATTATTTATAATAATAAAAACAACTGAGCAAGGCTTACAATGAGAAAAACACTGATAAGTTCACGTATCATATGTAGATATCTGAAGTTTCGATTTATCCTAAATAATAAAGAAAGTTTAAAGGCTAAAATTGTGGAACAAATCTAGAGTTCGACTATTAGACTAATGACTACCAATAGGTATTTTGAAATTTTAGATTTATTGGTATTGCATGGCCAAGAAAATACAAACGAGTAATAGTTGCTAACAAAAAAGGAAAAGGGCCTAGTCGGTAAAAAGTTTTGTTTATATTTATCAACTGGAAATTTATATTAGCAAAAGAACAACAGTCAATGTAACGATAACCTCGCGGGTGTGGGTGTATCGTATAAAAGGACCATAAAATCCTATTTTATTCAGAACAGAAACGTCAAAACTATGTTCATTTCATGAAAACAACTTAATTATTCTACGCATCGAAATTCACAATTGGTTAGACATAGGAACAACAGTGTCCCTTCAAAAGATGCCGCGTCGAGTCAATACACAAAATCCTTTATGGAGGCTTTTTAGCAATATCGTGTTATTTGCGGTAATGCAAAAATTGGTTAGAATTTATTTTTCAGAAAATCTCACTGAAAATTCAATATTTGATAAATACTTTGTTATTTTTTATCAGAATAACTTTGAGTAGGAATCATTTTAAGAATGAATTAATTCTTATCCTATATAATTCCTCGCATGATATACAATTGTAATTCATAGAATACTACCGAAATTTTCATAAAGATTATACAAAACCAATTCAAGTGATTTCTCTTTTAACAAATAATATTGACATCTACTGACAGTAGTCGTATGACTCAAATTTTTTTTCTTTAACCTTCGCAAATGGTTTATCAACTAGTTGACAAGCTATTTGAAATATAAAATTCGTAATTGCTTACAAATAGAATGTAAGACAATGTGAAAACGTTTTGCATAATAGTCAAGACGAATGAACATTTATTTCGTATTCGATGAATTTCTATAGTTTCATTTATTTGAAAACAACAACAACAACAACAACTACATTATATTCTTATCGTCAAGATGTTTACAAGACAACTTTTTAGCATTTAACAAGTGGTGTTTGTGTCAAAAGTAATCGATATCGTGTCTTGAGTTTAAGTCGTTGTCGTGAATATTGATCATCCGGTGAAAATTTAGCTAAACATTGTAGCAAAATGTTTTTTAGTTCATACTCATTAACAAAAAACAAGATAATTACCTGGATGAGCTGATTGTGTTGGATTTCCCAATGGGTCAACTTTCTGCAGATGAGCAAACAAACAATAGATGTCTTTTCAAAACGTAAATAAGTAACTTACGTTGAACGTATAGACACGTTCAGCTTTATCATTAAGATAATACATAAGAAACATATTTTTCTTGTTTAACAATATTAGGAATAATCTTAAAATAAACAAAAAGAAAATGTCAGATCCTAGGTCTATTCATAATAGCGATTTTAATAGAAAATAGAGATCTGTACAACAATCATATCTGAACAAAAAAAAAGAGTAAATTAGGATCGATTTTGAAAATATACACAAGAAAAAAAAATAATAAAGCAGAAGGAAAGCATCATCATTTAGCAAATAGAAAACAAACAATAAGAAATACATGAAAAAAAAACTCATTGCTGAATTTTTTTTAGGTACATAGAAGTTAAAGAATAAAATATGTGACTATATGCATAACATTCAATCAGAATATGTACAAAAGAAAAAACAAAATGATGAGATTAATCTATTGTTACTGTTTCCTTCTTGAGTTCAATTAACGACATACTGTATAAAAAAAATCAAAATTAGATTTAATCGGCATCATTATCATTATTTATTTCCATTAATGTACGTTTAGGTTGAGGCATTCGTAGAATGCGCATGTCATCCGTTATCTTTAGAAAACTGTAAAGAGAAAGAAAAAGAAAAATTGATTGATTGATACATAAATTTGAGTTTTACCTTAGATCTTGTGGTGTCAAAAATATGTATTGTTTTTTCTTTTCTCGAGCAACTTCAAGAACAAGATTCATAGCTGTTCGACGTGTTACATGATCCTATTAATAGAAATTGATAAAATAAAACAAAGGAACTCATCTATTTCTATAGTTTCTCAAGAATACTACTAACTTATTTGCAGTCATTCATTATGTAGTTAATATTATATCAAAAAAATAAAAATAATAATCGATTTACTGCGAACGCATGGAACGATGAAGTTTAGAAACAGTACAGCTGACTCGTAGTCTATTCTTTAAACTATAATGGTATTGTTCAATTAAAATTTTCATCGATGATTCACTAAATCATTTTTGAATCTCAATATCAAACAAGTAAGACCATAAAATTCATTTAGTCCTATCTTTTCTCGAACTAATCATATATCGTTAAAAACTACTGCAACTATATTCTATAGTATAAACTTAATAACCATAAGCTTAAAAAAAGCGACTTTCCATTCTAATTCAGAATAAACATTTTTTACCATGAAAACATCGAATTCATCAAGACAACGTAATGGCATTTCCACAACTTCCCAAAGAGCAAGCATAAAGCAAACGGTCGAAAACGAACGTTCACCACCTGATAATGAACGAGTATCTTTATGAACTTCATCGCCACGTGGTGTAATCTATATAAATAAATTAAATAGAAAATAATTTAAAATTTCAATAAGATAAACAAACTTCAAGAGCTAGAGTTCCCTCTTTATGATCGAAAATAGCTTCACCAGTATAATTTCTTGATTCAAGAAACGAAGTAAAGCAACTACTTGTTAGTTTAGCTGTTGCCTCTAAAAGATTTTTGTATTGTTGACCACGATGGCGTGACGCTTTAAATAATTTCTGTAAAAAATAAATATTAATAAATTTTCACGAAAAATTATAATAAATTAAAAATGCTTACATGAACTAGCTTTTCTTGTTTATCAACAACTCGACCGAATGTATCTAAAGCTATCTTGACTTTTTCTGAACGATCCTTTATTTGTTGCACATCATAGAAACTACGGAAAAAAACATCTTTCAATATTTTAATAATCACCAAAAATGCAAGATCAACATAGTTTTCTCTACAATACTAAGTATGTGAATTAAATTCAAATTATAGTTTGACTAGTCAATCATGTTCTATATGATAAACTTAGTTTTCAATCTCTGAAAGACCCTATCAGATTTGAATTTTCATTCTGAAGATTTCGAAATCGTCATCGAAACTAGCACTTTACACATTTTCTACGGCTCTTGCTTACAAATATTGTACTTTTTAGCAATGACATCGAATTTCGAATTCAAATTCTGTCCTTAAATAAGCCTCATTGTCAACTCAAATTAACTCGGATCCAGAGCAAACTTATTCGTACGAATAAATTTATACTTTAAGTATCGTCTAGACTCAGAGCGAAAATCTTATAAAATCCAACTTATTTTACTATCCATGATGAACTTGACAAAAGTAATAGCCTCAATAATCTTTCATAATTCATCTATGAAATTCTAGTATGTAATGAAGTTTTATAGGCTGATTAGAGTACTACTCGAATTTAAATTAATTCTTTGCTATTGTAGGAGGAAATCAGTTGATCTTTGCATGAAAATATTCTTACACATTTTTATTTGTTTCAATAAATTTTAGAATACCATCAAGTCTTCGTCGAGTTGCCTTGACGTCAATTTCGCCCTCAGGTTTTTGATTAAGTAATTTTTGAGCATTTTCAATTTGAATTTGAAGCTTAGTTTCAATAAATTTTTTTGTAGCTTCATGTTGTTCTAATTTTCTTTGATTATCATCGAGTCCTCGTTGTAATTCATTGATAGCTCTTTGTCCATTTTCTTTTAAAGCATCACATGCTTGAAGTGATGTTTTACATTGTTCAGCTTCTTCACGTTTTTCCATAACACGTTGTCGTGCTTGTGCTACATCATCTAGAATTTGTCGATATTCGGGTGATTCTATTTCAGCTTTTGATTTTTGATCTTTAATTCGTTGCTTAAAAGTTTCAATACGAGTATCATATTCCGATAGTTCATTTTCACAATCATCCATATTCGAATCATTTGGTGCTTCGATTAATTGTAATTCTCGAAGTTCCTTTTAATAGGACAAGAAATATAGGCGTTCGGTTGTTTTTGAGAAATAGAATTTCTATATGCTATACTTTTCCTAATCGACCACATGTAGCTCTGATTTCATTGATTGTTCCATCTAATCCAGCCACTGTCTGTTGATGTTGATTGACTCGTTGTTGCGTTTCCTTAATTTTTTCTTTAACCTCTAGCATGTTTCGTTCTATAGTAATACATTCATTTTCGGCACGACTAAATAAAATTTTATTTTTATATTTAAATGAAAAATTTAAGTTAAAACATACGTAATTTGTTCAGCAAAATCTTCAACAAAAAATCGAGGATTCTGAACTCTGCATGTATAGCAACGAAATACATATGTGTTTTGCATTTCTGTACCATTTGGAAGATACGCCTTTGAAACGAAAAACAAAACAAAAAGGGTAAGTTCTTATCAAAAAAACAAAAGAAATCTTACAGCAACACAATTCGGTGGTGCACTTCTCTCCATGATACGGCGAGCAGTTTCGTAATTATCCATGAGAACTCTTTGTTCAATACGTGCCTAGAACATACAATGATAATTATGTGGATAAAAATAAGATCATCACAACGAACATGATCAATTAAGAAACATGTAACTGTTGGATTATCAATTTGTAGCATTGATAAAATTGTTGTAAAACTCGATGGAGGTAACTAGAAAATTTGAAAATATTTCCCGAGACATGTAAATGAAAACATAGCAACGATAATTACTCGAAGATTTTGATACACTTTTGATTGATATTTCATCACTATGAAAAAGCACAAAATAAAACTGTAAAATAAACACAACAGACAATCTCTACCAGTAACACTTGGCCGATAGTCCATTTCTTGTGCTGGTACACAGCGCGAAAGAATTTCGAGAAGAACTCGTTCATCATCACGACATGAACAAAGATAACCTTGCATACTATTGCCAATAGCTTGTTCGACGGCAATAGCCCATTTTCGATCAACTAGACGAATATGTTTACCTAAAAATATAATTGTCCAACTAGTATTTTGTTTTCCATCAGTGATACTAAGTAATCAAATCAATGAAAGATCATATGCCAAGACAGAAAAACTGATTTACTTCATACAATAGTGACATATCAACAACTGATCCTTATTAACCAATAATACACATGAACTCAACAGGTAATGGATTGTGATTTTACATAGAAAAAGAAGCTAGTTTTTGAATTTCTATTTATCATGAAAGTTCATTCAATGACAAAACAAAATCCTCGACTGCAAACAATCTTCACACAACGGGAAAATATTTCTTTGTAACATTTTTATATTTGTGTCATCCCGTACAACACAAAAATTCACGTACAAAATAGATCTAGATCTCTATCAGTTCAGTCTGCAGACGTTCAGGGACTACCAAAAAACTTGATTTTTAACTTACCAACAGGTCCAATCGGTATTTGTTTAAATCGGTGTGCATGTTTGTCAATTTCTTTAAGAATGGCCAATGTATAACGTCCATAAATTGTAACACGATCTTGTTTAGCTGCTTTAAGTTGTTGAATACCACCACGCTTTCGACGTAAAGTATCCTCGTGTTGTTTCAAAGTTGATTGATCATTGAATAAAGTTTGACGTTCATCATCATATAATTGTCGAAAATTACCTTGTTCACTTTCTTTCATAGATAGTATTTGTCGTTGTTCATTAATTAAAATATGTAATTCATTTATACGTTGACAAGCTTTCTCATAGTCATTATTGCCAGTTGCTCTAGTAAAATTCAAGAACAAAATTAGAATCAGCAAAAGAACACATAATGGAAAAAAACGTTTCAGTACTTGCGACGCATTTCTTCGATTTTCTTTTGAAGTTTTTTCTTCAATTCAGTTTGCAGTTGAAGTTCTTTTTCGAGTTTACTTACTTCATGTAATAAATCTCGTTTTTCTTTATTAAACAATTTCATTTGTCGTTCAAGATCATCATGAATACGCTTTGCTTCAATAGCGTTATTTGCAACTTCTTGTGCTTTACGAAGTAATTCATCACGTTTTGATTTTTCATTTTTCATATCATCCTATTTATTTTAATGCAAATTAAATTGGGAAAAAGAGGAAAATAAAATAATTCACTATTAATGCATCACGTTTGTTCGTATATTCTTGAACAGCATATTGATCTTCGACAAGTTTTTTTTCGGTTTCGGCTAATGTCTTGAATATTTTAAAATTAAATTAATATAAGTAGAAACAAATTTTATTTACTTTTTCATGATTGATAACTTCAGCCCATTCAAGATGTCCTTGAAGATTATCAGCGTTAGATTTTGCATTACGTACGGATTCAGCAAATTTCAATTTAGCATCAAGTTCTTCTTTTTGTGCTTGAATTTCTTTTCGTTTCTATTTAAGATTAATGAATTTACAGAATCGAAAATTAATTAGAAAAATAGTTTTCTTTTACTTTCACATGATCAACCAATAAACCTTTGGCAATACGAATTTCAACTGTATTTTCTTCAAGATCTTCAACCATTTTTTGTAATTGTGTTGCTTTTAAAAAAAACTTAAAGAAAGAACATTTTCTATTGTAATATAAATGTTTTAAGAGCTAATAATGTTCATTTTTATATTTAAAATAATTAAAATTAAAAAAATCTTACATTGTACTTTTCTTTTGTACTTTTTGTATTGAGAAAATTTTTTGCAATATCTTGATTAAGCATACACATTGGATTATCAACTTGAATATTGAAATGTGCAACAATCGTATCGATTGTATCTTTTCTCTCGGAGACGATTTTACCTGGTTAAAAAGTCAAAAGATATTATAGAAAATACGAATAGAACAAAAAACAAAAAACAAAACACAGAAACAACTAACCATATTCATTTTTAACTTGATAATGACTGCTACCTTTGACAGTCACTTTACGTGTAATTGTAATCGATCGACCGAAACGTTCTATATCAATCGCTTCAAGACCTTGATTACATAGTACAACTGATATTTCAGCAAAACTAAAATACAACAGTTTGAATCTATCAATAAAAAATTTATTTTCGAAAATATGCACCCTTTGCCATGTTGAATGAAACGGCCAATATTTGAACAACGACTTGTGCTCGTTGCACGACCACCTAAAGTCAATGTAATTGCATTCATTACTGCAGATTTACCACCTAAAAATTAGTATAGCTGTTTTTCTGAAGAAAATAATCGGATTTATTTGATGAAATACATACTGCCATTATTGCCAATAACCATATTAAGATTTTCATTGAAATCAAATTCAAGAAATGTATGACACATAAAATTTTTTACACTAACCCTAAGAATAGTACCAGCATTTTTATGTAACTAGAAAATAATTATTATAAATGACCGATAAGTTCAAGCATTTTTGAAGAAAAAAAAATTATTTACATCGGGACTTTGTTTTGATAATTGTGATAATTGAGAGAAATAATTGCTATGATTTAATGGCGTATTTTCATCTTGTTCATCGGTGTTTTGACTATATGTTGGTTCAACACTTTTTTGCTTTTTACGTGGTACAGATGCGACAGTGCCCGAAGTCGTAGAGCCACGTTTCGGCATAATTTTATTTAGATAAAGGAATAGGATTCTGTTCGAAACACAATGTACAAGATCTATAATAGAAGAAGTGACTTTATATCAAGTTATTGAAGTTTCTATCTCAAATGAAAATGGTTGTCTATGTGACGACTAAAATGCTCTTCGATGCGCTTAACGCACGTGCTTCACCATGGTCAGGATATCTGCTAGGCGCCTTAAATTAGGACAACAACGGTTTCAAATCTATGAAATATTGCCAATAGAATATAAATGAAGCGAATCATCCAATAATAACGCTTTAAAATCATTGCTTATAAATTATTTTATTTCAAAATTTTTGACGATTTAAAATTTTAGAATTAAAATTTTTAAATGAATTTATATCTTTATTAATATTTAGAGATGTCGCTAGGATAGAATTGAATCTTTGTATTATTCACAGATTTGAACTGATAGAATCACTGTTCAATTTTTGCACTCATTCATTTTCAAGTATTGTTTCATGTAAACATTGCTTTGTGCGAAACAAATTAGAAGTACTTTTTTTTGAAAGAAAATTCTTCTTTCCAATAGCATATGAAGAGTAATTCTAATGTTTTAATTGCTAATAAAAGAATATTATTTAGAGTAAAACTGTAAAAAATAAAGGTCTTGAAAAAGATAAAAATAAAATTTTCTCACATTTTTCTAATATAACTCGATGGATTCTATCCAACCATCATGGAAAGAGAAACAGAAATTTGCATAAAATTTTGGATTGTAGACGGTCGATACTATACTATTGAAACTCCGTCATTCATGATAAGATTTATTAAAAACAATATCTGTATATGAACTGCAGAAGATTTATTAATCAAAAAATTAGAATAGATATTTCATTGTGAATGAAAATATACAGAAAATCAAACATTGCCATTATGAAGATCTGTCATATCCATCGGAATCAATCCAAGATCGCTCATAAAAGTAGCACTTCATGTAACTTCTATTAAAGAATGATATTGTGGAATCGTCTCTGTAGTATAAATTGAATACGATGGACAAGTCATATTTTTGTATGTTAATGTATTTCAGCAGGATTAAATAATCGAAAACTATTTGTGAACAATCGTACGATTGGTAAACATTCTTGTTCGTTCTGCAATGTTCAACTATAGGTGTAATACATAATTGATTTAAGATACTATGAAATAATGATGACCGATTGACAGTTACTAATTGAGGACCATCCAAAAAAGTAATCATCATCTTCTCTTTGTATTTTACCTTTGAGAAGAAAGAGTTGTTCATGCCGTTTTAGTTAAATCGTCATTATATCATGATCAATTTGATTTCGATAAAATGTTGCATGTTGATCTAAGAGAACTTTGATTTGTGCATAATTTACAAGATGTATCGGTTGGTTGATGCATACTAATAAGTAAATGAAGAGCTACTTCATTATAAATCAATCGAGCCATTTTTGCATTGGATAAAAACATCTGAAGTATTGTTTCATCAATTGAAAAAAGCTTCAACAATACTACCTTCAGCTCCATAAGTTCGATTTGATACCGATGAGTCTCTATCAAATAATAGATCAATACCAATTACATGATCTGATCTAGCTATAGCAAGTTAAAATATCTTCCGAAAATTTGACAATACCACATATAATCAAGTAAGCTTCTGATGTAATATAACCTTGTCGTAAGAGAACTTCACCATGTTGAAACCATCAATGTCGTGATTCTAATATTTGTGAAAAATGAGCTTTATCATGTTCATTTAAATCAGAAAATAGTGAAAGATTATTAAATGAATTATCTTGTTCTCGATTTAAATGTATTCTGGGAGTATCCGTGCAATGACCATACTCCAAACAAAAAAGTTTCTTTTGAATAAGCTTAAGAATATTTGCATATTCATTTTCATTAAGCATGCCCGTTTCATATAATTGAACAATGGCTACTGATTCATATTTTAATAGCATTTGTACACATCGTTTTGTTATTTCAATCGTTCAATATTTTTTATACGAATGTTGTAAATCATGTAAAACAAGTGATGCTCGTAATTGTAATATTTTTGCTTCGCGAAGTACATTATTCATAATATAATTATCGATATTTGCAAAATCAGGAAATTTAGGCAACAAATTTTCCATACGTGATTTAGCAGAATGAAATGCTACAAAATAATACACGTTTGACTTATTTATTAAATATCAAAAAAAATGAAAGCAGAGAACGATCAATCTTATCTATTAGATCATTTTTTTTTGTAATTAAGCTACAACAAATATTTTGTATTCCATAATAACTATAGAGTACAGAAATATTTCTTAAAATAAATTGAATGAAAGAGTTTCTTCATGATTAGCTACATCCTGTTTCACGTTTTTTTGCCCTGCGGAGATTCTAAAAATAACTCGCTCTTTTTTTGAGACATGAGTTTATATTTTCTATTATATTGATGTATCAGATTTATAATTACAAAAATGAAAAGAAAAAATACCTAAAGTTAATTCGATAGTAAGTATCAAATGGTCGAATAGTCATTTTTCTGTAAGTCGATTTACGCATCTAATTTTATCAAATTTGACTAAACATTGTAACCATAAGGGCATACAAAAAAGTCTGACCAGTAGATGTCGATGTTGTTTTAATGATAATTTGGCTTTAGCTTCTTCGACTGTTTCAATTGGTATTCTAAGAGTTTATCGTCGAAGCATACCTAAATACCATTGTTTTTCATAATCAACTGGCATCGCTGTTAGAATTCTTTTGATAATTTCATTTCGCATATTAGTTCGATAACATCCAGCCGTCAAATAAGTATTGTGTATTGGTTCAATAAATGGTCCTAATATACATGGATTAGTCCATAGTGTATCTAGATCCAATTGACAGATACTATTTGTAGATGTTAGATCGCTATGCTTTGGACTTTCAGATTGATCCGAATGTCTTGAAATGGAATCCAGCGAAATATCATTGTGAGTTTTTATCGAAGATACAGATAATCTTTCATGCATATTTGTATCATTGTCTTCATCTAATTCTTCCAGTAATTTCTCTGGTAAATAATGATTTCATATTTTGACTACGCATATATTTTAATGCTTGCAATAGTACAGATTGACTCTCAGGTGTTCCTATAAATAGATAATACAGTATGATTAACTTGTGGAAAAATAAAATCTTATGATAATTATTAATTGCTGAACATAGATCTCCGTTTCTCGATACAATATACCTCTATGAAGATCAAGCATTTTCACTAGAAACTTGCTACTAATTCCATTAATAATCAATGTTAATAATACTATCATGGAAATATGAAAGAGAAATCGCTCACGAGTTGCACGAGGGATTTTCGAATCTAGATAGACTAAAAGAACGAGAGCTAACGCTGTTCGACCACGTAAACCACTCCATGCAAATATCACACATTCGTTTCGATTCAAATGCATTCCACTCCATGTTATCACTGGATATAAGACGCCAACAATTAATGCTCTACTTGCATGAATCAATAGATAAAGTACTAAAGCAATGACAATATCTCTACTAGTTAAAGTCGTCTCTATGCCAACAAATGAATGTGCAATAGTAAGACCACTAAGCGTAAAAATAAGAATATTCACAACAAATACGATGATTTTCCATGATTCAGCTAATGGCAATTGAGCATTACTTCTACAATACCTATGTTTAGACATGTATAAACCCATGGAGATAAGAGAAAGAACAGCTGAAACACCTAGTTCAACATCTGCTACATAAAACACAAGATATGCTATACCAAATGTAATTGTAATTTCGATTTTCAAATCATTATTAATTCGTTTTAAAATAAATACACATATAAAACCACAGAATAATCCTAGTAAAGTACCATCTATGCAGGAAAAAAATGAAAGACATTGAAATATCTTCTTCATCTGTTCTAATAGAGATTTAAAAAACCTCATTTTTAAATGAGAACCACCCAATCAGAAATCAGTTAGCTCTATTTCATTACCTTATTGATATAAATAAAATACCAACTTTTTCATCGCTCACTCAGACTATATCTAACAATGTCACTAACGACTTGTCCAATAGCAAATGACCTGCTAACAATAATACGATTAAAAATTGAAAAAATGTAAATACTAACCCATCATTTAATAATGATTCAGATTCAATTAATGATGACAATGAATGTCTAGCTCCACAACTTTGTAGTAATGTTACAATACTTACTGGATCTGTTGTACTTAATGTACTTCCGAATAAGAGACTCTTAACCAAGGGGGAAACGGCAGACTTGAAGTAGAAAAGTACGTCAAAGTAGGCTGCTTGAAGTAGTTCAAAGTAGGACCAAGTAGCTGAAGTAGCTTGAAGTAATCTCAAGTACTTCAGGTAAATCTGAAATTGAAAAGTACTTCAAAGTAAACTACTTGAAGTAGCTTGAAGTAGCTGAAAGTAACTTGAAGTTCAAAAGTCTGCTGTTTCCCCCTTGCTCGTAACTCATGATCATTCGTAATCATATGGAAATAGATAAAAAATAAAGTTCACCACGAAGAAAATCATCTTCATTAAAGTCACCTTTGATTTGCGTAGCAATAATACCGATAAGAAAACCAAGGAATAAAGCAACGATATAAAATGAAATATTAATTTTTTGGCGAAGAAATTTAGCAAAGAATATTTTGCATAAACATGAGAGTAGTACAGCAAACGATAAAACGAGAATTATTGAACCAGTTGGCGACATAATCATCGATTTCAGTTTTATTTGTAGATGTAATATTTAAATCTAGGATATCTCAATTCATATTTCATTTCATGTAATACATTTTTCAATAAAAATGGTTACCTTCCATTTATTAATAAGAATATAATTTATAATATGTTAAAAATCTAAATCAATAAAATGATGGAAATTTTCATTTGAGTAAAGGAAAGTTCTTTGCAAAATACTAAAATTCTAGAAATTTTTTCTCCTATTAGTTTGAAAATACTTTCCAATTAACTTTTTTTTAAGGCAAACATTTAGCAGTCCTGATATATTACTTTCTAATGTACTCAAGCATGACGATAAAACACTGATATCAAAAACTAATTGTATAATTATTCTACTATATTCTTTGAGGAGAAATCAAACGTTTGTTGTCAATTCATCTACACCATAAAATTCATAGTTAATACTTTTACAAGAGAGCCAATAACTTTCTTATTTGTTGACCAAGTAGAAATTTATGACTGTTGAAAAATCGATCATATTACACTTGCATTTTTTGAAGTTTCGATGATTTATTATTCTTTTATAGAAGAATTAATGTTGTCTAAACTCTTTTACATTTCTAAGACAAATGCACAATGGACTAAAAATATTCACAAGAAAAGTTAGACGATTGCAACCTAATAAAATTGAATATTGATAGTAGTAAATGAAGATAAGTCAGCATGAACTTATTATTGTTATTTGACTGATCAGCGACGGCCGATAGAAGACAACAGTAAAGTTTGTGTGATATATTTTGACAAAATTTCGTATCGGTACTGATACTCAAATATTCATTTGATTTGATGATGGATTAATTTATCAACTGCCAAAGAGAATAGTAAAGTACGTTGATGACAGATATATGTCTCATCTTGATTTCTATCATCCAAAATACTGTGATTGAATATTCAATAGATCGATGATAATTTTTGATTGAATGCTAATAGACAAGAAGAATATGCTACTGAATTATGCATGCTAAATGAAGAATATGACTAAGCGATGCGCACATATGTTTTTGTTTCCTTGTATAGTCGAAGATTCACTAATGAAACAGTTCAATCTGAAGAGATATTTATTATATTTACCACATGCTTCAAAAAAATCCTAACAACAGTCACATATGTATATGGTGCATCGACATGATAGAGCGATTACAAGCATTCACTCTTGAAACATTTTATCAAAACTGAAATCGAATAAAACGATTGATAAATATTTTTAATAACGCGAAAAAATGATAGAGATTTAATAATGATTCTAGTTTTCGAGTTTAAAATTAATATTTTACGGTCGATCAAATATTTTCTATTTGACATCAAATTGAACTTCTACAATCAAGCAAACGTTGTTGATTGTTTTTGTAATATATTCATGACGTTGATAAATCGTTAGACACGATCGTTAACATATTTTGAGTTAATATAGTCTATGACAAACGCTAATGATTGCTATATTTAATTAAAAACAAAAATAAAAAATATTATATTACTGTAGAATTAATTACAATATGGTTTTCTTTTGTTCTCTCAATATTACAGCAACTGTACGAGCCAATAATATATTTTTATGGTCAAATGTTTTTTTGGCGTGTCATCGATTATCTCTACGTTAATGCTTTAGTGAATTAATTTTTTTCTCATAGTTTGATTTAATGAGTATTCAATTCTCGTGCCAATTTTTGCTCTCCGACTCATAGCGCTCGTCAACGGCACGTTTTCATTTCAATAATCTAAGATAATTATAAAGTAGTTTGAAATAGAAAGAATGAATGATTCAATTAATTTGTATTCAGGACAATAGCAAGGACATTTTGATAGTATCTCATTTTTGTCCAGTTGTCCAAGAACTATTACTTCTCATCATTTTTATATAGGATGACAAAAGTAAAGAGAAACACGAATCTGACTTTTATGCATATCCACTTTTATTTCTCTAGGCAACTTTTATTATTATTATTTAATACCAAATAAATTGATTCTATTGATTGAAATATCTTTGTTATAGAATAGATCCTTAATTCTACTAAGAACTTTCAAGCAAGAAACCGCATTCACTGTTTTTGAATATTAAATTTACAACTAACTCTGAAAATTAAATTTATATATCCATGATAATATAAATGTTAAACTGGATCATCAATCATAAACAAATTTTACATTTTACTTTGTTTGGCAAAATATGCATATATGAAGGACATTGCGCAGGTGAACAACGTTGTCATTGATAAATCAATATCAGTTTCAATGTATAATGTACATGTCACGATATTGTTCGGTAAAAAAAGTAACTGAAGATCTAATGATCAACGATTAAACTATAGACATTAATTGAATTTTGTTTTAAAGATATCTTCATTGAATTACTGCATTCAGGATTAATATAATGAACATGCATCTAGAAACATTTGTCGAGTCAAATGTATTTGATGATGAAGTGTTCCGACGGAACCGGATATGTAATTATATTCGATTTCTTTTGATGACTAACTTCGAGCATAATTTTTCATGAAGTGTCTTTCTTTTTATGTAGAGCGATCAGTTGTCATCACTAAACTCAAACCAATATTACGATCATCAATCAAATGACTGTTGAAATAAAGACATGCTATTCAATGTTCATCTAGAGACATGCTTTCTTTTTTCATCAAGCATTTATCTAAATTGTACATGTATATAACAGATGCGATGGGAATCGTCTAGCTAGAGACACACATCACACAACAGTGAGATTAGCTATTGTCTGAAGAAGAAAAGAAGCTTGTTCCGGATCAATTGATTTAATAGTAAGAATAACAAATAGATAATATATATTTTTTGTTTTTTTGCTGGTAAGTAATTTTTATTTTAAGAATTCATTTAAATCTATTTTATACGTAAGTGTCTCACAAAAGAACTCTGAGATGTTTGTGTAGAAAAGTATATCGCAAAATTCTTACTGTTCAACTTGTTGCCGTGCTGTGATAACTCACAGCACGATATCGAGTTCATAAACAAATACTTCTTATAGACTAAAAAGCACCGAACGACTACTAATGATGAATAGAAGGAAAACAAAAGCTTAGGCTTGCTCTGCATTGATTATATGCACAACAATTCTTTAAGCAAATAATATAAAATCACTTACTCCACCCACGTAACTAGCATATATACAGACAACGAGGTGTGGCTGGACATTTGACAGTATGTATGCTCATAACAGCAAGAAAAAAGATTGCTACCACCTGAACAATTGCACGTAGTCACTATACTAGTTATATAATGTGGTCAACTCAAAGCACGATTCGAATGTAAGTCATTATAGTAGAAGCATTTGTTATCAAAATTAGTTATTCATTCTACGCGTGCCGCATCCGATTGATTGAGCAATCTTTAATTCTTTCTGTATCTATCTATCTATTCGGTGCAATTGATATATTTTATCCTTGTCGCCTGTTCAATCGAATCTCATCTCATCTCATACATACACAACATCAACACAGACCAAGATAGATTGACCAATATATAGCGAAACAGAGAAAGATAGAGAATGCAAGAATAACACGAAGAAGAAGAAGAAGAAGAAGAAGGAAGAAAGATCGCTAGAGAAATAGTATTAGTTTCTATCATTAGAATAATTTTTCCTATCTATGTTCATTACAATATACGTATGATGTCACTATGATGAAAATTATTTTTCTCTGTTTTTTCTCTACTAAAAAGAAATAGTAAACCACTTGTATACTACAAAGAAGTAAATCAAATTATTCTCGTAAGTACGTATAGATTGCTTAAATTGAATTCAGTTCAAGTATCATGATCATAACAAATAAATACTATTATACTTGCGAGAGAAAAAACGAGAGCTCATCCTTGTCTATCTTCGTCAACAAGAAAGAAAAAAAAAGAATGAAGGACTTGAAGAATCATGAACTGTAGTGTAGTTGCGACGCTCATATTTTTTTTATGTTTGTCTTTTTCACTCGTTCCTTTTACAGACATGTATATGGACATAACTAAACATATAATCAAGCTACGTGCTCGATTAAATAACCGTACAAATGATCATCGTATTACTAGCCGAAAGCTGATGAAAAGGCGGAGGCACCAGTAGAAGCAATGTTAGTTGGACCTATCCAGCACGGCCATTCTGATATGGAATTGAAAAGAATACAGAGAAAAAGAAAAAATCGTTATAAATGTATACTTGACGAAAACGATTCAAAAGAGCCAATTCAATTACGGGTCAACTGTAAACATACAGTCGACATTCTAAACAAAAAGACGGTATGCCATTTTGTATTTATATATGGATTGATGAATATGACAGAAACCTGCAGGTAAGCATAGATTTTCATAATGTAATAGTTCAATTGAATCACTATTAATGAATAGAATATCTAAAGAAAATATTGCCAATCAAATACTAGATAAGTGTTTGATATATAAGTGTCTATTTGAAAAAATATAACGATTATTGTATGTTAATGTCGATGAGAATATTTTTCCACATGAGCTTTTCATTATCATTTAGATAGAAAAAGAATACAGCTCATTTACATTTTACTTCTATTGACTGTTGATTTCGTCATCTAATTCAAAGAAGATTTATTTCCACTTTGTTTTAGGCAGTTTTCTTGGTCCCAGACGATCAACACGACAGGCAGAGGTCAAATTGATCCAACACGATCACTTAGACTTAAAGAAATATACATCTAGTGTATCTTATTAGCTTGATTATTTCCTTCTCTCAATCACGAGCAATTCTTCTTCTCCTCCTCCCAGTCCTCTTCATCTTATCAACAAATCAAGATTCAAATGCAAACAAAGCAGAATCAATGTTGTGTCTCTTTTTGTTCATATATTCATATTTTTTTGCATGATCGATGGTACACATCTGTTTCACAAATTTTAGTTTTCTTCTTTTACTTTCTTTTCTTTTTACACCTTTACAGCATTTTTTTGTTGTTACTGCTCCCACTCTCGCTGTCGTTTTCCACTCATATGTTCTTTTCCGTCTGTTGTCATCTTACTGAGCAAGTCAAATATACTGGTGAAAACCTTCCACGTATTCTCAGATGTCAGCGTCAGTGGCTGTCTACCTTTTTTTTTTTATTGTGTCTCACTTTCATCTTGCGTCTATCAAACACAAACAAATCGATTAAGACTTTCTTTATTATTCTCGGGTTTCTTTGTACACATGTATATGTGCGTGTTGTTCTTGTAATCGGAGGATCAGGCACGTAATTATTGATTGTGGCTTTTGTTTACACTTTGTTTCACGAAGACGAGCTAGAGAATGATGATCATCATCATCACACTTTTGTGTTCTAGATTAGTATACACAAAAAGCATCATCTTCGAAAAACAATTGACACGTCGGATTTTTTATTCATTATTTCTTCAGTTCATACAGTTCGAATAGTAGACATTCCAACAACGATGGGTCTCGCCGATTCGAAAATACAAAAGCATCTTGAAAGATCATCCATCCGTAAGTAACATAGTTTATATATTTAAATCATAATCATAATAATAATTCATGTATGAAAGTCATGTATAATACCAGAAGTTTAGCATTAATAAGAGGTTCAAATGACTAGTGTTAAATAAATATTGGCATCCATTTGAACGTTTATTACTAGAAAGCATATGGATTGTTGCACAATAAAACGCCTAGCAGATGAGAAGAAAGACAAACATTTAATTACACAGTAATTCGTATATTCTCCTGGTTTTTTCTTTTCCTTATCTCACAATATGAATATTTAGAAAATGTCAACAGCTAAAAACTAATTATAAACTACACTGTCGATAAAGAGCAGCACATGGATGAACATATGTATATATGCAAGTCCTTCTGTTTGCTTGTTCGAATACGGCTAGAGTCTATTTATTGAAATTAAGTAATATTAGAAATAATTGAATGGGTGTCTCAATTGAAATTAATCAGTACTTACAAAAAATAAAAATAAAACCTAATCGACTATGAGTATAGATTAACGGAAATGTAATTAGGCTCTTACAACACTTATATTTCTTCCTTCATGCATGATGAAAGAAGAACCTTTTTTTTGTGTATAGATTCACCCCATTAATGAAAAGCATTAGATATATTTATCTTTTTGACGAGATGGAAAAATGTTAATTTTATAAACTAAAGATAAGTAAAGTGAAATCGAGCTCATAATAAGATCATTCTTGTGTTTTGCATTATTTATCAATAGACCTCGAATTTTGTTGTCGTATATTTATACTTTGATTCAATAATTGTTTTTTTTTCTTTTTGATTATTATTGTCAATGTCATCTCTATTCTATTATTGTAATATTTGATCGTAGTATTGAATATACATATGATTGTGTTTGTCACCGGAGCTAGTGTGCGTGCCATAGCAAACAAACATCAATAGACATTGGATGGTTTATGTGAAATATAGAACTTTTAAACACTTCGAGGGCGCTCAATCGACTGTTTGCATGTTTTATATGATCGTCTTTACTAATCTTTCTTCTCTTTTCTTCTTTTCCTTTTTGCTCAGTTCGGTGACACTTCATGTTGAAACAATGAGAGCCGCCATCATCGAGCATTTTCAGTAGAGCGACAAATTACTTTGACGGCGGGTGACCGCTACTTTTACAAGGAGTCTCACGATGATATTTCTCATTCCACACACACACACACACACACACATATATATATATATATGCATTCATACATAGAACATGGTCAAGTGAACAACATAGAAAATATGAACCCGTCTTCGATAAGCATAATTGACTTGGGCAGATGTCCACATTCTCTGCATTGTACACTATTACTTTCGCGTTGATCATTCAATCCTCATATATGTATATGCATGTTCAAATTAGTTCGACCACATGTTCATGTATGATGGCACTGTTTATACTGTCGATTTCTTTTCTTGCCTCCGCCTTCTATACTAGTTTCCCTAACAGCTGATGACCTTCATCATAAAACAATTCTATTACATTTCTTCAGTATTCTTATCTCTAAATTACTAGCTATATATATATATCGTTCTGAGATGAGTATTGAATGCATAGAGAACCAAGCAGGATCATATTAGTGTAGTTCATTTCGACATATTCTTTTTTCTCTCTCTCTCTCTCTCTTGCTGTGTCTGTCTATCTTTTCTCATGACATGAAGAATCTTGAGATATCAGTGTGTGATTGTTGTAATGACGCGGTAGATAGCAATGCTGGTAATATAGAAATAGAAAGAGAGATGCGGAACCTTGTTTTGTCGGAATCTAATTCAATTGGGGAAATAGAATGAGTGAATCAGCACGAGCTGACAAATGCTTGTTATTATTGAAAGACGATAGAAAAAGACGGATTCTGATTTTCCCTTTTCTTTTCTACATCATCATCATCTCTCTCTCTCTCGATTACGTCTTTAGCTGTAGCATACACACATAGGAGGAGGAGAGTAAGAGGCGGAGATCAGTAGTTTCCGCTTCATACATATGCATATTTGAGTGAATCACGTTTGATCAACGCTTTCTTACTATTTTATACTCTTACAACTTCAATTATACTCGTCTTTATTTTATCACTAAAAATGATCTGTACGTAACTCCTTTCAAATCTAGATTATTATTATGACTATTGTTGCTTTCACTTCGAATACGTTTCAATGACTAGCATTTTGAAACGGACAGACATCTTCAGTAGTTAGATTTCCTTAAAAGATAGACACCATTCATGAGTAATTCATAGAATTATGAAAATCGATGAGATGACAAAAACGATTCCAATCGACGACGATATTTGGGTATTAAGAAGCCCCGCTCATCATCATCATCATCATCGACGAATAAAACAAGGTAATAAGAATATCTCTTTTTTTTTTCAAATTCGAACACATTTATAATCCGGTTGTAGGTATTTCTTAGTAATACAACAGATAGTCTTATTTTCAAAAAGACAAAAAGAAACTAAGAAATCCTTGAACATCATTCTTTTTTCATTCAATAAAAATTATATTAATTTGACATTTCTAATAACAAATAATTTTGTTTATACGATCAACGAATAGTTTCAACTAATTAAACATAGATTCATATTGAAAATAAAATTATTGTGACTATTATTAAATTTATGTTCATCATATGACAGTATTTCCTTTTGTCATTTCTTAATAGTGACAATAGAAAAACATAAAAACTTTGACTTGCTTTGTTTTTTTATATAAATGACTTTCAAGTCGTATGGTTCATCGATTTGACAGTAAACGGATGTTCCGTTAGATGCATAGATATCGCAGAAGTCTCTTTTTATGTTTCTGACAAGACATTATGCTCATTTTTGCGTTTCTTCCTTCAAGCATACAAAAGAAATAGAGAATCACGCATACAATATAATATATATATAGATATGTGTGTGTGTGTGTGTGTGTGTGAACTCTATTAAAGAGTAATGAGTAATTGTCGATTCTCTAAGCCAGCTGCAAATCGTCTTTTTTTTTATTTCTCTATATTTCTCGAAACAAACGAGAATGCCCGATAATAATAATGATGATTGATAGTTTTTTTTCCATTTTATTTTAACACATCATCCATTTCAATCTCAGCTAGTCAGACATTTCCCCTCCCCAATTCAAGAGTGTATGTAAAGTAAGCAACCAAAGAAATGAACATTTGGCCAAGAGAACAAAATAATGACGATCGATACTTATCGTACATGGAGTTGTCGTTGTCGTTATCTCTCTTATTTAGTCTTTTTTCTTTATTTTATTATTCGATGTCTTGAGAAAAGCAAAAAAAAGATGTCTGTGACAACGTGAAGAAAAGAGAGTATAAAACAACCCATAGACACAAACGGCGGAGACAGCGTACAGACCAGTGCAAGATTAGATCAGTCGCTGTCGATGTCTTGTGAACTATTAACAATTCCAGTGAGAGAGAGAGAGAGAGAGAGAACGTCATTGTAACGCTATTCTTTTTCTTAGACGATTTACAAAAAGTCAAAGAGCGACAACTGGGTAAGAAGACAAATTTTACATCTGGCCATTGAATCAACCAGTTTAATTTAGCTGTTTATATTGTAGAGTGGTTAAGATACGACTACTTTTACTGATTATAATCTGGGTAGAAAGCGAGTAGTGAAAGGTGTGACAAAGAAAAAAACGAGAAAGAAAGTAAGAAAAGAGAGAGAGAGAATGTGAGTTGAACTGTGAGACATATATGCAAACAGAGACAAAAAACGAGAATAGATAAGAAATAAAGTGTAGCACAGTTGTGGTCATTGGTAAAGTGTCTTTGGTCGTTTTTTTTTCTTCATCATTGGTTATGCTCTCAGCGTTGGCCGACCGCTTTTCTGTTACACGATCACTCGAAAACCTTGTTACAGGTCGACGAATGACATGCACATCTGCAGGTAGATAATTATTAAAAAAAGAAACAAGAAAATCAAACAACCTTATTTTAATTTATTTCATGTTACACCTCCTGTCGCCTTAAACATACTTTTAAACAAATGCTCTATTGATTTTCTTATTCATAAGAAGCTTTTCTTTTTTTGTTTCGTTAATGTCATCATTATTATCACCGGCTTTGTTTCACATTTTCAAAGAGTATATTGATCATTTAGGCTGTCGGTAGCAATCCTGAGAGCTATTATTCTTTTCGGTAAGAAGCCATACATAATCATAATGGACATCTGTGTCATATCATCGATTGAAAATGAGAAATATTGAGTCATTAGTCTTATTCTCATGATGAACTTTTCACATCGATCGCCTTGAGAATATGATTGAAATATCGGATAGAATGCGTGTAACAGGAGTGTGTGATCAGAATGAGGATTGATAAAGCTAGCTATATATGTACTTTATATAAAAATAGATTGCTCAATCTATTGAGTAATTGACTTGAAATGCTTCAATGATATTGTATACATAAATACGTAAGAAAAACAAAAAATAATAAAATATAAATATGATCAACACCTTTATTGAGTTAAAAAGAAAGTACAAAGAGCGTGATTGATAACATTCATTATTTCAAACAGACACCTGTCTTAAATGAATATATTGGGTTGAGAAGTAGAAAAAAAATGTCATTGTGTGAGAAGACAAATGACCTTGTAGGGTTTCATCGATTGTACACGCACACAAGGTCATTTGATTGTAAATGTACATTCGTTCATGCCTTTAATCTTGTCCAATAAATCCTGAACGATCATGCGACACGAATGTTCATACAATATTTTCTTTTGCGTCCAACATTCTCGTACATATTGATTGATTAGATGAGAGAATGAAATTTGTCACCCTGCATGTGCCCTGCCCTATTCTCTTGTACACTTTCGCTGGCATCTAGTATATACATTTCGTGTCGTCGTCGTAGTCGTGTTTCTCTTTTCTCTTACAAAAAATTTTTTCTTTCGTACGAAACACAAGAGAGAGAGAGAGAGAGAAGAGGGAAGAAGAAAAAAAAAGAAATGGAAATTTGAATATTTTATGCACTTATAATCGAAATGTGAAATGGATGATAGACATTTGAAATCATTATAACATAACACGACTTAGAAGATACTTTTTTTTATATTATTTATTGTTGCTATTTGACACATATTTAAAAGAAAAAATGACAACAAACAATCATAACGTAGATCCCATGAGAAAAATCTATGATCATGTTTGGCATTGGATAGTTAAACAGACATATGAAAGTAAGTAGAGTTTAGTTCAGTTCACTAGTTTTTTTCTCTTTTTTTTTGGGTTCAGACCTATATTTTTCTTTAATTTGATCATGATGCAATAGGCATGCGATGAACTCATTGTATGTGCTCAAACGTACGCGTAGGTATCACATTTCAGTGGCTCACGTATGATGAACTTACTTCGGTGCTTAGTAAATAGAATTTTACCTCATCATTTTACTCTTAAGTCAATCCCTTCCTTTTTATTTCTCTCATTTTTCTTCTTGTTCATTACGTCTGCTGTTACGTTATATGGATGGCCTCGTATTTAACAGTAGGTAGTATCGTAATCTATGTCTTTTTTCTTTGTCTCTTGACTGCTTATGGATCTCTCAATGCGAGATGCAAAGATGATGGTTATCATGATAAGTTCATAAAATAAATCTTAAGAAAAGATTGTCATAAATCGATTTCAAGAAAATTACTTTTATATAAGTAATATATTCTCGTTCACCTTGGATAAGAATATTGATTCGTCAACTTTCTGTTCAAATAGACACATGCACAACAGCAGTTAAGTGAGAAAAGAAAAAGGCTTCAAGTATCGACCTTTATTCTTGTACGATGACAACGAACTTCAAAGAGTAAGGCATACATACGATGTGAGAAGGTTACATATATATATATTTGAATATGAATATGAATACATATTAAGCAGATGTGAAGAGTCATGTTATTCATACTATTTCAATTACATAAAATGTCCAATTTATATATATATGTATATATATTAACGAAACATAAATTTAACAAGAACGAATGAAAATAATGGACGGACACATTTGTCTATCTTGAGGCTTGAAATACATGTTAAATATTTGATGAATCTATTGAAGAGCTCTGACAAGTGTTTTAGATGTATCAGAATAATAATCTGTGTCTAGTTTAAACAAAAATATACTTGAAATTCAAACAGAAGTATTCTTGAAAAAAAAAGAAGCGTTTATGATAGAGAAATAGTTCAATAGAAATAATTGTATTATTTTCTTTTTGTCTGATGATCAAGTCTTTAGGGAAACTTTGTTTCTGTTAGATTCGATCTTATCACTTTGAACGACGGGCATGTGTCGCCTCGATCAAAAAAAAGGAAATGGCAATAAACGCTATTTTCTTAACCAGCAGTGTATAGGTTGTTATCTTAGTGAACTGTTCGTTTCCCTTTCATGATAGTTATTCATTTGTATAAAAATGGCCCACTTTCTCACGCAAACATTCTTACATCATCGATTCAATCAATGTCTATTTTTCTTATTCTTTTTCTCTTTCAGTCGCAGATTCACCCATAAATTCGACAAATCCCAATCATCGTAAATCTAAAACTAATACAATCGATAGTAATTCTCCGCAAACAAAATCTTGTCAAAACATGAAGTGTATTGTTTCACCTAAACCATCTATAAATCCAACAACAAAACGTATGACACCAGATTATTCGGATATGGAACGAAATAATATTTATGCTGAAACACCACCAAAACCTAAACCAAATTCTTCATCTTCATCATCGATATTACCACCAACACTTGTTAATGGTACAAATCATTATATGCCTATCGTTCAACAAAGACGATCTGTGAATACTACGAATCGTAATGAAAATGTACGAAGTTTAAATGGCACATCAAGTTCATCGGTATCATCGTTTTCAACAGCAACTTGCTCATCACGATCTACAACACCATCGAATTCATATCGTCATGATCCAACTTCGATTATGACACGTTCAGCTGATGCATCATCATCATGTGGATTAATAACACAAACCAAAAACGGAACAAATAATATTAAATCAAAGTCAACATATGATATTGATACATCAACCATTGATCGATCAAAACAACAAACAAAAGATAATTTGAATAATAATAGTAAATGCTTAAATACGATTGCAAATGGAAATTTCGTACCGTTACAATCTGTCAAAGAAGATGAATGTCTTGAAGTTGATATTAATTCAAACAAAGTACGTTCAAAAGTAAGATTATAAATTAGATTTTTTTTCTTTTTTACTATCATACGAAGAAAAATTTCAGTCAGTTTGAAAAAAGACGACAAACGACAAAAGACAAGAGACAAGTTCTTCAAAGAGATAGAAATGTACTCTAGAGAAATCTGTTCTAGTAGCAAATCTTATGGGATAAGTCATTAGTGGTTAGTTACAAGTGTGTGATGATTTTTTTGAATTGATCGCTAGTTCTACATGAAACAAAAACAAAAAAGAAAAGATAGTTAACGAAGTTTTCAATGATTACTCATCATTTTCTGTGCAAGTTGAAGTTGTTTATTTGAAATATCTTCGTTTCATTATTTGATTCCTTACAATCGATGTCTGTTCGTTCTCTTGTTCGCTGAGTGTCTTCGATTATATGTACTTGTATTTATCTTTGTTACTAGTAGTTGACTGTTGTTGGATCACTGTGATAAAAAAACACTCGAGGGGACCGTCGGACATAGACTGTTTTGTTTCGTGTGTGCCTCACACCGTCCATTTATTTTGTTGTATTAAGCTCAATAATGCTTCGACTTATTTGATTGTTGTCATTGTTTAGTTTCCCTATATACATATGTGTGTATATATATATATATTCTTTGTACTCTGCTTCCTTCTTCTTTTTTTACTTTAATTCATCGTCACTTCGACCTCTGATGTCTGTATTGTTTATACGTATGGCGTTAACATAAACCACGACCAGACAACTGCATATGCATATGTTGTCATTGTGATCGCTCGTCTTTTTTCATCGTTATTTGTTATTATGTACCAAATGAAAAGAATAAAGATATTGATATTTTTTTCTTCTGATTCAGTTTTTCTCTGAGGCCGAAAAGAAGATAGAAATAAAATGTCGAGAGTTATCGTTAATTTGAGATTGATCATCATCATCATCATCAAGGCAGCTTTCTTTGACTCGTTCTCTCTTCTCTGCTTGATTTAGATGCACGTTAGCACGCTCGCTATCCTTCTCTTTTTCTGTAACATTACCATTTTTTTTTGTGAAGAGATGATTGTCTTGTCTGACCGAGATTTACTTGGGCGAGCCGTCCATTACTAACTAACAGAAGTATAAGAAGAAGAAAAAAACGAAAGAAAGAAAGAAAGAAAGAAAGAAAGAATATAAGAATGGGCAGCATGTAGAACGTAGGATGACGAGTTCAGATGGCGTGTGAGTGGTGAACGACAAGCGATAGTCACAACAGTATTATTAGTAGCAATTTCTTGCTCAACGTCGGAAATTATTATTTCTAATACTTATTATAACTCAAGTACGATGAAGGTAAATAAACGAGAGGTGAAGTCATCTAGAGAAATGTCAACACAAATATAGTTCTACTACTTGAACATGAACGTCATCATCGATTGATGGTAACCATTTTCTCGTTATGAATACTAATCAGTATAACTCTGTGTGTTCCACACGATTTATTAAAATTTCTTTTTTATCTTTATAATTTATCTATAGCAGTCATCCGAATGAAGCCATTTTTTGTTTTTAACAGTAGTAGACAACCATCACATTGATGGCGAATGAAAAGTTGAATATATTCATCGATAGATACATACAGATGGTGAGAGGTAAATAGAGAGAGAGAGAGAGAGAGAGAGAGAGAACCATTAAGAAATCATCCTCGTCGAATACTTGATTTGTATGTTTACTACATACATATTGCATAATATAGTACACATATATACAACTCATGAGATGAGGCTTCAACAGACACATTAGTAGAATGAATAAGTGAGAGAAGATAGACTGAATACTTGAAACTGCAATTCGAACCCTTTATTATATGAATGATTGTCTGAAGGCAATATGTAGGTGGGAGAAGAATATCAAGCTATAACGACAATAAATTTGTAGTACTAAAAAAGAATTAATCGGATTGTTTGAGTATGTGTGTGAATAAACACAAGGATAGGATTTTCTTCTCTCTCTCTCTCTCACTCTGACTCTCTTCTTTTCTCGTTTGCGTGTTTCTTTTTTCTCAGAGTTTGTTTGATTAGTCTTAACTATTGGTTACATCTCAATATCTGCATATTAATTTACAGAATGACGATGAACAGCAACGTATGTTGATCGATATTCTCAAACAAAAATATCCACGACAACATGGCTCGTCGTCGTCAGCTGTGTCTACACCGATGATGGTAACAGAAAGTTTGATTAATTATCAACATGACATCTACAATTTTTTTAATAGCCACGAACAAATTCACCTCATCAACGTTCATCATCAACTGACCCCATTGAAGATGAATTAATGTCAGCAACTAGAAATGGTTAGTATGAAAGAAAGAAAGAAAAATGGGTAAATCTTAGTGTTTTAATGAACTTTTTATCTGATAGGCTTTACTCGAGGTCAACGCATCCGTTCAAGTCTTCCATTCATTATAAAACCTGCAACGAATAATTTAAAATCAAGTTCACTGGGTAAATTATTGTTATTCTTCAATTAATATTTCCGAATTAAAAAATAACTTTCAAAAAACATTTTCCTGTTTCACTTAGGTCTCTGCTTTTTAATTTGTGGAGACGAAACAAAAAAAGTTCTTTTACCATCATATATTTCATGCATCGATACACTCAAAGCACTTTTTGTTCGGTAAGTATTTTCTTTTTTGATAGTTTCTCATTATCATAGACAAAGCCGATAGAACAAAGGATAGAAGAAAAACGAAACATGATTACAAAGAGAAAGAAGGATTGTCTCCATCCGGCTTCATATCACGAGATTTTTTTTTTTGATTGTCTCTATTTAAAGAGCATTTCCGCAACATCTGACAATGAAACATATGGACGCCGACGATGTACGATTATATATACGTGAACCAGATAAAGATATTTTTTATCAATTAGAAGATATGAGGTAAAAATGTCACCTGCAATTGTAAAATGTTAATAGAGATTATAAGAATATTTTTTTCTTCTTCTTCATTGTATAGTGATGTTAAAGATCGTTCCGTCCTGAAAGTGGTTCAATTGAATAATACCAACAACAACAATTACAATAACAATAATACTAAAGCGCAAGTTACATTTAAGCAACCGGAGTCAGATGACATGTCTATCTATGTTCCATTTACATCGCGTCCTACACTTGCTAGTGAAATAACTTATCAAAGGCTAAGTCGTCTTGGTCGAATGCCATCAACGACGTCGATTCCATCCACATCATCAAGAAATGGATCAATGGAGGATAAATCAATATCATCTGCTTCAACAAATCCACAAACATCATCGATTACTTCGTCATCTCGTTCTCTCAGTGAGCCAAGACGACGACTGGCCACTAAAGAAATCGCATCCAATGCTAATGATCAAACATCATCCACAAATGTGAATTTAACAAGTCAGTAAACAAATTTAAACGCTCTCTTTGATATGTATATGTATACATGCATAAATTATACTTTATATTATAGCTCCTAAGGCTACCACATCATCACCAAGAAGTGGTTCAACAACACCGACCACCACTCGCACAGGCGATGACGACGCTCGGTAATGATAAATAAACAATCTTGTTCTTCTTCGAATATATAATACTAATTATTTCTAGTAGTAAAATGGTTTGGATGGAAAAACAATTGGAATCATTAACTGAACTTGTTAAAGAACTAACTCGTGAACGAGCTTTGAATGAACAACAATCACCAATGACACCACCAGTAACAAGAATGGGATTTCATAAAGGTATTGTTAAGCCAAGAAGCAAAAAAAGTTCTTTAATCGCTGTAATACGATTGAATGATTTTATTCGATCGATTGATTATGGGAAAGCTCTAAGGAATCATGAAGGCCAATGCCTGTTAGGTTATAGATTAGTTTTTGTACCTGATGATGTCATTTCCTGCTCGAAGCATATTCACTCTAGGGGAAAGCAAAAGAACGGAATACGAGTTATTTAAGAGCAAATAGATCTTAACGTGAAAAGAAATCGAATCTACGTATTTTCTTTGTTGCCGCTTGATTACCTGATAACCTGATATTCTTTTAGATATTAATGGAAAATCGTTACGACAACAATTATATGAATTAAAAGTCAAAACACATGCCTTACGTAATGATCTAGTATCCATTAGACGTATGCAACAGTCATTACAAGAGAATTTCAAAGTACAATTAGAAGATGCTAATAAAAAAATAGAAGTAATATCAATTTACAAGAAAAAAAAGAATCTTATGTAAAAAAAAACCTTTTTTATTTTCTCGAATCTTATAGGATTACATTTTACGATTATATCGAATTGAAACTCGTTCAGAACAATGTCGTACAGTTGAAAATGAACTCGATTTATATATGATAAATAGTACAAAAATTGACCGAGATTTAGAGTATGATTAATCATCTTAAAATATTTAATTTTTTTTTATTGTCTCTTTAATTAATAATAGAGATTTAGAAGCATCTGTTGAAGAATTACAAAATGATGTCAAATCTAAACAATGTTATGTAACAATGAATGATGTTGAAAGTTTTGCTTTAGTTCTAAGTACAATAAGCCGTTCATTAGTCGACCTTAAAGGTACAAAAAAAATGTTTAATGATAAATCAATATTAAAAATAAGTCTTTTTTACTTTCTTTTCTCCTAAAGCTTCGTTTCCAGTATTACGTGAAAAAATTTCTTCGCTTGGTCAACAATCATGTTTAAATGAAGATCAAAAGTAAAATTTCTATATATATTTGTTTTTCTAACTTTTTTCCTTTTTTCTTCTTTTTGAAAAATTAGATTTCTACAAGAAGAGCCTGAACGTCTTGATTATACAATAAAAAAATGTAAACGTTTAACTACAATGCTCTATCAACTCAAACGATTAGCTATTAATCAAGAACAAAAATCTATTTCGATAAAATCGCGCTGTCACTTTTCATTCGGTTCAAATGGTAAACCCACTGATCGTAAACGTCTATTAGAACAAATTGAATCTGTCACACAAAATTCTGATGGCAGACTAAAAGCTATTGAGGTTCGTTGAATATTTTTTAAAAAGCAAAACAATAATTTCTTTTGTCATTTTTAGAAAGCAGAAAAATTACGAGAACATCGTTTACATTATGCAAATCGATTAGATTTACTCAAACAAATGAAATACAATTCTGAACAACAAGTATGAATATAAAAATTTAATAGATTTATTTCGGTAAAAAATAATGTGTTTTTTCTTCTTCTCAATTTTTAGATGGATGGACAAGATACAGGACAATATTTTGATACACGAAGTTTAACAAATTCAATACTACTCTCATCAAGTACACGAACAAGTATATGCTCAACACAATCAACAGCAGACTCAACAGCACTATCAAATAATTGTCCATCACCATCGCTATCGTTTATTGTTCGTCAAGCAGTAATCTCTCCAACGAATCCATCATTAACAATAAATGATGCAAAAACTCGTTCGCAAGCGTCAATGAAACCTCCATCAAAAGTAACATTTTCTCAACAATTAATAACAAATGGAAAATCCTCATCAAATTCACGTGATCATTCAACTGATTCCTATTTATCTACGAATGGCATTTGTGTGAATAAAAAAAGCAAACCAACACCACCACCACGCGTACAAAGTACGTCATCATCTGCTGTTTCAAGTGCAACATCTTGTTCATCATCTAGTTCATCAACATCATCGAATGGTAGCGGAAATTCATGTTCAACAAATGGTTTTTGTGGTATAATACCACTTGTTATTTCACCAGATCGTCGTCATAATGGCCGATGTAATTCGTTTTCATCTTCAAGTACAGATACTGATTCAGTTATATCAAATCCTCGTGGAACAATTCCACATAAATCATCCACAATTATTAATACAAAACCAATATTAGTATCGAACGGTTTTCATCATAAAACATCAACTAACTCAACAACATTAATGCGCGCTTCGGTCACTGATCTGTAGTACTGTTTATTGTGTATAGTTCGATACATATATATATATATATATATATATACGTATATACGTACGTGTGTGCGTTTGTATAGTCTTGTCGTCTGTTTGTTTTCACTTTTTTTACTATTATTTTTTTTCTCTCTTCTCTTTTTCTTTTTGTTCGTATCGTTATATTAAAGAAAGAAAAAAAAACATTAAAGTCATATGTCACCATTCATCATTCTATATATCTTGTTCAAATACACAGAGAAAACTAGCAGAGCGTGACATCATAGGATATAGATAGATAAGGAGAAGACAACGATTTTTCATTTTGGATACATATTATTGAATAAGCAAAGAGAAGAAAAAAACAGACAAGTAATAAATGGGTGGATCGTTAAGGTAAGTCTTATTTAGTCATTGAAAAAAATGCTGGAAACACAATATCTATGTAATTATATGTTACAGTTCAAACAGAGATTATAATCGTGTACTTGCAAGGCAATTGCCAGCATCAATTAGTATCCCAAGATTCGAAATAAAGAACGATTTAGTACAACCGTCTCCTCCTGATTCACTTACAGTAAGTATCTATTTAAATCTATTTAAGATGCAAAATTGACATAATCATTCTTGTCTATATAGCAGACTAAAAATTGAGTTTATTCATCGAGTTCAATCATAATAACAAGAGATAGTTTATTTTAATACGCGCTGTTATGGAGAAAAATTGTCATTGTCATCTGAGTAGAAATTAGTTCGAGTTTAATTCATATACAAAAAAAGTGACTATTACTGTGTTATGCATGACTATACATTTTAGATCCAAAAAGCTGATCTTTTTTGTAGCATCGGCCTTCTAATGATGATTGTATCACAATGCGATCTCTTAGATGTTTCTGAAAACTTGATTTTACAAGTTCTATATAGAATATGAGTATCGAAAAACGTGAGTCTTATTTCAAATATTGCACTGAAAGATGATTCAGTAAACAATAAATATCTTATCATATTGTATCCGTAGGTTTAAGTATGATCAGTTGATTGATTCACCATGGATGTTTTCGGATACAGTGAGAGACATGCGGCAAATTGAAAATATTTCTATTGAGCAGCATAAACAATCGACCAATTAAAGTTGGTTGAATGTGCAGCCGACTCCTTTTCTTATTCTGAATGCATGAAATTTATATTCAACTTTCTAGTTTCCTTCAAGGTTTGTATGAGAACCAAGGCCAGAACCATTTTTGTTGTACATTGATTAGTTTTTCAAGCGTAGTGAATCAATATTTCATGTCAGATGTTAGAAGCATCATATTTTGTTTATGAAGAAAACTGTCCAATAGTCAGTCACACGTAATATAGCAATCAACTTGTCAAGCGATCGAGGCGTGTTAAGTTTTTTTTTGACTCATCCTCTTTAGTACATTTAATTTCGTTGTCTGAGTGTGTAACCAAGTAGAAATATCAAATTTTCAAAATGATAGATTCCTGTTCCTATGCGTTTTGCGCAAAATGAAATTCAAACTGAAAATCCAACTACTGCTCATGTAACCAGATTGCCATTTTTAAATACACATCCGGAATATATTCAAACAATGCAACAGGTGAACGTTGTTTTTTTATTGTCATAACTTGATGCACGAGTGTTTCTATTGAATTATATAGTCGAACGTTTCATCACCTATGCAATCGACAATTGCATCCTCTACTATCAATCATCCGATGAAAAATATACCTAGACATGAACAATCACAACAACAAATAATCGAACAAGACACTTCTCATCTTGTTAAAACTAATTCATCTACATATGATCAACCAACAAACGGCGATGTTGCTGTTATTCCGCGTTCTGTTACAAATCGAAGTGATCCACATTGTTTCGAAAACCATCTTCCGTCTTCATTTCAGCCACAACAGTCTATAATTGAACATAAGGGAAGGAAATTTTTAGTTGAAACTAAAAATCGTACAGAACGACGTTATGTTGAATGTGTGGACGATAAGACACACCGATTTAGATACTTTGAAGTAGTTGATTGTGTACCAATTCGAACAGTTCGACCATATAGAAATCAGTCTCGCTCAGTATTGCGACATGATACTTTTCATCCTAATTTTCGATCAAGTCATCATTCTGATCTGTCACAAACTTCTCATGAACAATCAAAAGCAGCATTACCTTCAAGTTTCGATGTTAAACAAAATTCACGTAAGTATTCAGACATATTGACTTCACTCTTAATATTTGTTCAATGAGAACTTTTTCTCGATCAATAAATCACAATTTTACGAATACATTGCGGGTATTCAATGATCAATCATCTAGGATCTAATGAAAAAAATGGATCCGTTCATTAATATTCAAGCTTACATATTGAGTTGTATAAATCCTACTATTGACTACGACTCGTAACACCCTAACACTAATCTGTTGTCAATATAAGATATTCATCAGAAGCCTTATGAATCTCCATTCTCCCGACAATTCTTATAAACATCTAAACAAAAAACATAGGCAAATACGGATGTAATCAGATATTAAGGGAAGCTCTCTAAAATAATGATGCACTATTTATTTTGTCATCTCTTAAGGCGTCTGTGTCTCACGATGGCTTACGGCACTACAAAAGTACACGCTTATTCAATTTAGTATTGGTAGAAGTCTATTTCACTGAAATCTTTATTTATCAGTTTTCACACTGTACCTGATTACTATTCATTAAAAACGTCTCTTGTAGAGTCACCGCCATTTGGATTAAATACTTCAAAAATTTCTGATTACGGTCTACCTTCGTCGTCTGCAAACAATTATCTTTGTAAATATTGAACAAACGAAGTAGCATATATATATATATGTTTCATATTACAGATCTAGATTCCTATGAAGAAACTGAAACAAAACGAAACGAAGAAATTAATCGTACATTCAGATCAAACGAAATCCCTGATGGTTACAAACGAATAGACCCATCCTTTTTTACTCAACAAAATAGTACGATACTTTTCAATGATGAATATAAGTTGGCAACAACATTTAATCCATTCGCTCAATCCATCTATTCAAATCATCAGGATCAGTATTCACAACAATCTACAATTAAAAAGTGTGTATTAAGTTTTCGAATAACATATAGTTGATTATTTTTATATAACTATTATTAAGCGATGTTGAATCCACTATGAACAATCAAAAACCTCAACCATTTACATATTCTGAGTATGCTCAAACAGCAATTGCTACAAAACTATCACGTAATTTTTACCATCTCTCTGTTTTTCTTCTTGAAATCATCTCATTTTTTTGTTTGTAGATCAGCCTCTACATTCTTATCCGAAAGATTTATTTACAAAGATTTAAGATCGTTCAATAACAAATTTGGTTTCCATTTTTTATATTGACATCTAATTACATTTGTTCTTTTCTTCCCTCATTTAATGAATACAAAAATGATACTTCTATAGAATACTGCCGAGAGAGATAGTTAGTTTATTTGAATCTTTTTTCTTTTAGAATAAGGTACTTCTGTAAAGAGTATACTGTGAAATATCAATATTTCAAAACAATCGCAATTTCTTACTAGTCTGCTGTTGAAATGAACCAACACTTCACGTAATGAGTAATCATTGTCAGGTGACTATGTTCATGACTCTTTGATCAATAAAAAAGAATTCCTAAATAATTAACGAATACTGATGGAAACTAACTAATCGCTGATCAAAAGAGAAGAAGATGGCAGCTCATCTCCGTGGGGAATATGCTGTTCTATTTTCATATACTTAGTCACGCGATTTGCACTTCTTTTCCTTAATGATATATCAATTGTTATGAAAGAATATTCAAGCAAGCACATGGAATATGAGATTTTTTTAGCTATGCTCTCACCTGATTCATCTGTATTTCGAATAAATCGAATGAGAATCGATGACCTTTGTTAACTGAAATATATAAAGTATCATGTATGCAAGAAAAATTTTGAAAAAGAAAACTTTAACTGTTGTCATAGTATGTCTATTTCATCTATACTTGAGTTATATCTGTGTAATTCTACTTATTTAACATATTGATTTATCCTTATAATTCAAAATCTTCATATAAACGATGAGTTTTCAATTGTTTTTCTGAATACTAATGATCTATTTATTTTTTTACTGACTTCGATCGATTGCAAAACCGCTTCTGACGATAACAGTTTTTGTCCGATTTCTATTCTTATACACTCTGGTGTACAGATCAGAAGGAAACATCTCTATATAGTGAACACCAATTCTTGATTATTATGGGATTGACTTTTAAAAAAATTAGACAAACTTAAGAAAAAGACAGACAGGTAGATCAAGCCACAGAAAAAATATTACACTCGTATACAGACTAGGATGATATTAGACTTGCCTCGGCATGGTTATATCTCCCGTAGATAACGAACCACATTAATGATTCATTTATCAATGGCTAGAGTGCTTTGAAGATGCTTCAAAGCATTGATAGCTTTCTTAGTAGTAATTAGTACAGTGTCTGCAGCTCAACTTTCACCTGTTGATCAAAAATATATATTCTACTGTCGCTGCGTTGGCCGAAAGTATTCATTCGACAAAATAAAAATAGAACTAGACAAATAGCTATTTTAATACAATTTAAAACATTAATTTAAATATAGAAAATGGACTTTTAAACACTACAGCAAGGAACTAATGGATAGTATTCATGACATACAGTTTTGTAAGGTGCCGGCAAGTCGAAATTTCCACAAAAATTTTTTCGCAGATTTTTTAGCATGGTTGGACAGAGCTCGTCGAGTTACTTGTGTGTATGTAATAAAAACAGTTTCCACCGAGTTTTTCTTTAAAAAAATTGAAATACGTTTATACCAAAAATTGCCTTAAAATACAATAATTTTAAAATATGTGTGATGTATTGTTATTTTATTACATCTAGCATGGTTCTTATCTTCTCAAAATAATTTTTTTCTAAGGCTCGGAATAGTTTAGGTATAGAAAAGCACAATTAGCCTGAGCGATAAGGTAAAATCAGGTTACTTATCAACCTCACATGAGGAGCACTATCAATCAAGTTTTTGGTCTCCAGTGGGGTAACTTCCAAACACATCAACTGCTCACAAGAACATATTCGAGTGATTGTTTTTTCCTGATTCTACGCGCCACAGATATACCAAAAAATCTATGCATCGGTTTTGGATTAGTTTTTTTCTTTCTCGAGAAATGCGTATTTTACTGAAAAAAATCTGAATACGTTAAAAAAACATAAAAAATTCGTTTTTATTTCGGAAATATTACTATCATATATTGATCAGTGAGTAAAACAAGCAGCATATTCAGAATCAGATGGGCAAACTACACCTGGAAAACCGAATTTCTAAGAAAAATTCTTACCAAAATTTATCTCTACTTCCCCTCAACAGTTTTTGTGAGAATATTTGCCTGTGGTCCCCTAGCGGTCAATTCTGATAAAAATTTTCTTTTTCCTGAAATCTGGTTTTATAGGTGTAATTTTTCCTCCTGATTCTGAATATGCTGTTTGTTTTATTCACAGATCAATATATGATAATGATATTTCCGAAATAAAAACGAATTTTTTATGTTGTTTTAACGTATTCAGAGTTTTTGGTACATCTGTGGCACGTAGAATCAGGAAAAAACAATCACTCGAATATGTTCTTGTGAGCAGTTGATGTGTTTGGAAGTTACCCCACTGGAGACCAAAAACCTGATTGATAGTGCTCCTCATGTGAGGTTGATAAGTAACCTGATTTTACCTTATCGGTCAGGCTAATTGTGCTTTTCTATACCTAAACTATTCCTAGTCTTAGAAAAAAATTATTTTGAGAAGATAAGAACCATGCTAGATGTAATAAAATAACAATATATCACACATACTTTAAAATTATTAAATTTTAAGGCAATTGTTGGTGAAAACGTATTACAAATTTTTTTTAAAGAAAAACTCGATGGAAACTGTTTTTATTACATACACATAAGTAACTCGACGAGCTCTGTCCAACCATGCTAAAAAATCTGCGAAAAAATTTTTGTGGAAATTTCGACTTGTCGGCCCCTTAAGTATGCTATATTATTCTACATGCTGTAAAGACTTCAATCTTGGAAGCTTGTTTTGAACAAAGTAATCATTCAAAAAACTAGAATATTAGTAATGTGATCTAGAAAAATCATCGATTTCTACTTGAGGGTGTGGGCGTTCGTAAGAATGACTTACATATATGCAATCTTAAAAACTTGACTGTTCGCTGTTATTCACATAAATTAGTTGTACCCTGAATAGACTTAACGACTGTTGATTATGCGCGTTATTAAAATGTACAAGTGATATCGCGATGATTCGGTCATGATAAATTTTATTTCGAAAATTGTCTTTGAGCTGTGACAAGATTGCCCATGAAAGTACAAAACTTATTGAGCTCTGTATAATATGGCGCTGTAAATTTATCAGCGGAGTGATCATAAAATAACACGCTATCTGAGAATAGAAAAAATTGATATCGATGACGAAAGTAAGATCATGAGATTAGATAAACTCTAATTATAAAAGTATGACCAAAATGAAATGAAAAAGAACATATTTTAAAAATTCAATAGCCAACAAAATCTACAAGGAAGTAGTACATCTACTGTGAATATGTAGTTTTATTTCTCTACTGTTTTGAAATGATTTTCTTGGAATGAATTAAGTAGTTTTGTGCAAAACTTAGATCAATCATAGGAAAGTTTCTAATGAACACTATTTTCAAGATTAGTATTACTATTCTATACGAGTCATTTCTGTTTATCAGTGCAATCAAAATACAAGATATATTTGTTTTTACTTTCCATTCATTGATATGATCTCATGAACAATACTCAATAAACAACGGCATGCGATGCGAATACTGTGAATGACATAAGATGAAGCAATAATTTCTATATAATCCACATGAGACTTCTCGATATCTTTGCCAAACGATCATATCAGTATTGTTTATGAAGTTCTTCGAAATAATCTATCGCTACAGCTACGTATATTTTACGTCGATTTTTTTAGTGAGTAAAAAGTTTATCTTTCTTTTTTTTTTTATCTAAGTAAATCTATTATAAATCTGTAGTTTTTTTTTCATTAATAAAACAAATAATATCCATATAAAATATTTCTGAATCTGACATTTTTATCTTGTTTATACATTATTAATTAAAATTAAGTTCGAAATTTTTTGGAATTAAAAGATTGATGTGAATTTATGTCGACTAGAGGCCGTTTGAGTCCAAGTTTTGTTTCTACATATTGCGATTTTGGTTGACTGCTAACACCGTGTTCATCTTCGTCTATCATTTTTTTACGTTCAGCTTGCATCGCATCGTCGAGCCATTCGACACGCATCGATGGTTCGATATTTGGAACATTGTGATAACCATTATTATTCATATTACTGATAGATCGAATTATTTGAAGTGATTTTTTATTTTGTTCATCGTCAGTTATTGAAGAACGAGATATGGATGCAGTACTGTTACTATTATTATTATTGAGAAATTGTGCTAAAGAGGATTCAAGATCATTGAGCATTGTTTCGGCTTCATTAGAAATTTGTGATGATGGTTTTGGAAGAGATTGAATAACTTTCGGTGGTGAAATTTGAATGGTAGGAGTAGGTTTAATAATAGAAGTGTTTTTCTTCTTGTTAATAATTGGAATAATACGAGAAGTTTGAATCGTCTTCATCGATGAGGTAGTTTTCATTGTTGCTAAAGAGGGATTATGGTTTTCTTCGTCACTATCATTATCATCGCCGTTAGAAATAAAAACCTATAAAATAATTATTGAAAATTTATTGCTTTATTCTTATTTTATTACTTACCAAAGATCGATTTGGATCATAAGTAGTAGCATATAATTTTTCAGCTACACGTTGTCCAAATTTATAACAAGTTTTAAGCCATGCGGGATGTACACATGATGCTTTGTATTCTTCAGCTTTCCTATATTCTTTTCCTCTTTTACTTAATTTACCCTAGAAAAAGAAACAAAATTTTCTCAATGTTAATTGAGCCATCAAGAAATAAGACCCACTTGACAAATATAATGTGTAAATGGTACATCGAATATCCAAACAAATTTTCCGCCAAGTTCTGTACATTGTTGATGTAGAACTATTCTACTCGATACTAATTGTTGACTAACAAAAATTACAACACCTTGTAACGGAAGTTTCGTTTGAGTGGCCTACAAAGAAAAACACTTAAATGCATTATGGCAAGCGATAAATGAATTTCTTTTTTATACTGGTGAATAAATTTCTTCTGTCATAGTCGATAAGTCTTGTTTGAAGACCACGAAAATTTAACAACTGATTAACCGTTTTTATTTGACCAATCCAATATGAAACTATACTAAAGACATCTACAGGAAGCCAAATAACAAACCAACCATTTATTTAAGAAGTTTTTTAAAGGTTAAAAAACAACATCATGTTTTTTGTTTTACTTTCGTTACTTTCTATTTAGTCCATTGTTATGTGAATATCTAAATACACTCCAATCTTTCTAAGCAGGCAATGCAAATCTGTTACAATTCTTCATTTACTTTTTACGTCACCTGTTTTTATTTACTATCGCTTTCTTTTGCTTTTCATCAATCGAAAATCGATTCAACAACAACAACAACAACAACGACACTAATTGATGACGATGATTCTAAAAATGAATTGAATAATGAAAATGAATTGCAATCGAGTGATGACGAATACATAGATGAATCAAAATATAATAAAGCATCATATCAACATGAACAAGAATTACTAGCAAATATCTACGCACCGAATCGAACCTTTATCTCGATGCATGATGATCGCATTCATCCGTCGAATTTCTCGTATTTTTCATTTAATAGACTTGGTACTTATCGTTTTATTTTAATATCGCTGCGTGGTGATGCTGATTTATATATTTCAACACGTCATAAATATGTTACATACGATAATTATGAATATAGCTCATGTACATGTGGTATTGATGAAATTCTTACTGATTATAGTATGAAACGACCAATTTATATCGGCATATATGGCTATTCACGATATCAAACAAGTCACTATCGTTTACTTGTTGAACTAGTTGATACGAAAATTTCAATGGATGAAGCAAACAACGAACAATCAAATGATGAAAAATTATCGATGTTCTCACAAGAACAACAAAGATCACCCATAGATAGAAAAAATCCATCAGCTACTGTAGAGGGTGAAGAGGGTCGACTACATTTACTTTGGAATATATTTTTGTGGATTCTAAATTTTCTTGTCGAAGTATTAGCGTGACAAATTTTTGTTTTTGTTTCTTGTCTTTCATATTTGTTTTACAGAATATTTTCATGTATACTTTTGGCCGGTGTTAAAGTTGCTTTTATCTATTGGTTATTTCTTGTTCGAGCCCTTGCATAATTCACGTCATATATATGTACTTTTTCTTTTAGATTATAGTTAGTTAAGACAAGAAAAAGATAACGAGAAAAAAATGATCAGCACATTTAATCCATTTGAAACCCATTATGATTCCATTAATGATAAAGATGATTTCAATATTGGAAATTCAAATAAAAATCATACAGTCAATCCATTGGAAACAGAAGCTGAACGAAATATTCGCACACGTACAGTGTATGTTTACATATCGGTCTTGGATATAATTCTATTGATTTTAATTTTATTAGTACACCCATTGTAACTGGTTCATCAGTTGCAGCATTTGTATTCAATGGAGGTGTTATTTTAGCTGCTGATGTACTTGGTTCATATGGTTCTTTAGCTAAATATCGCAATTTGCCACGTATTCATCAAGTGAATGATCGTACTATATTAGCACTTGGTGGTGATCTATCTGATGCTGATTACATTAAAGAAGCTATTGATGCTAAAGTGTAAGTTGAAATGTTTCAATGGTAATTTTAGTGTTATTAATATATTTGTTTTCAAGTGAAGAAGATCTTGTTCAAGAAGATGGAAGTGAAATGACGCCATTGGCTCTGTATTCTTGGTGTACTCGACTTATGTATCATCGACGAACAAAATTAAATCCATTTTTAACAAGTGTTATTGTTGCGGGAATAGAGAATAATGAACCGTAAATATCGAGAATCTCGATTTTTTTTTTATTCAATCTATACACTTTTATTTTGTATTTATAGGTTTCTTGGACGCGTGAATGATAAGGGTTCAGCTTATAAAGAATTTTTAATCATGACTGGTATCGCTAATCATTTAGCTCAAGTGAGTTTATTCTTATAACACTACATTTTCTTCCGTATACACATGTATTTGTCTTTCTTAGGGTTGGATTCGAACAATCCTTGAAAATTCGAATCAGCTTAACAAAGAACAAGCTGAACATTTAATGGATCGTATTATAAAACAATTGTTTTATCGTGATTGTCGAGCATTTGCTCGTGTAAGATAATTTGTTTCCGAAATAAAATCTTGTTTTTATTTATTGCTACATTTTCTAGTATCGTGTTTGTATTGTAACAAAAGAGGGTGTTGAATTTAAAGCCAAAGAAGTTCAACCTGATTGGAGTTTAGCACCAGGACTGTAAGTTGATTTTTAATGTGCGTTTCAATCATAACAATCACTTGTCCTTTTTTTTCTAGTCACAATACAGAATAAATGATCAAATAAAAAATGGCTGAACTTTAATTGACAATATAGTCGAGATTTTTCTTTCTTGTGTTGTTACTTCGTTCTTTTTTTTTTATTATTATCATTCTAAATATAGACAAGGTCTTATTTCATGTTTTTTATATGGCTGTATTCTACTCGCTTAGAAATCTTAGGATAAGAAGAATTCGCGACATAGACACTCACAATGCTCTAAAACAACGAATTTCCTGATCGAACGATAAACATTAAGTTGGTTCTTTGTAGGTTTTTTTTTATTCTGAAGTTAATGTCCATTTGGTCGTTTATTGCGAAGCAATGATTTATTTCATAGAAAATAGAAAGTATCTTGAAGATTGAACAAGTATTTCCCTTCTGCTAAGCTTTTTTCAATTGATGATTATTGAATGAATCATTTCAATTATTTATTTTTAAGTATCTATATATCAAGAACTCTTGAATTAATGTTTTCGAAATTCAATGAAATCATGATGCATTGTATCAATGATATAAATAATTGAATTATCGGTTTCTATTAAAAAAGAAAAAAAAACAAGTTTCGGATGAATATTGATCATTAAATAAAAGATTTTCACCAAATTTTTCTCTTCTCCAGTTGAATATTTATATACGTGTACATTGGAATTGAAAAAGAAAAATCTTAATAAGATATAAGACTGATTGACATTTGGTTTCATCTATCTATCTCGATTATTAAACTCCTTCGAAGAATGAATATGTCAAGTGTTGTATTTCACATTGCCTTTTTATCTTTGTGCTTTTGATTTACGTATCTATCGCGTTTCCATTGCCGATTCTTTCTATATCCAAGATGAGAAGACGATGTGCCCTTTCGGCACATACAGACAACCTAATCAGAATATTTGTTCATATTGTATGTGTTCTTTTTATCGATTATTAAGATATATTTTCTTTGTTTTCCATTAGCGTCTATTGATAGTTAGATCGGATAAGATAAATCTTAGTGGTCTGTCTATCACCGGATATCGTATAACAACTATCAATGAATTGATGCATCACGTATCCGAACAAAAGGAACTAATTATTCTTTTTTTTTTTGTTTTGCTCTCATTATTAAAAACTTTCTATTAGTCATAAGATACATTGACACGATTTCAACTATGATTAATCAGGTAAGCTGATGACATATCATTGTCTGTTATTACTCGTTTTAATAATGTGGCACGCGTCGATCTCTTTAGTATTTTTCTTTTCTGATTTCACTCTGTACAACTCGACGATACTTAATACCCTTCTCTCATACGTACAGTTCATTGAAAGAGAGGAAGAGGAAGGGAGGGAAGCAACGAGAGAGCGAGAGAGAATGACCGTTTGACCGGTTCAGTGTTGGTCGTTGTATATTCATGTCATGGCTTATTGGTCGATGAAAAATAGATGGAACAACGTACACGTGAAAGACGAATAAACATCGTGTGTAGATTTTGTTCATTTTCTTTTGACTGCCATCGATCATCTAGCCATTGCACATTAATTAGAGCGACAACTGCTGTTAGCACTGTCCTAATTTCGTGTTACATGTGTCAGCACCATCATCCCCACTTTCATTTTGTTATATTGACTATACAGAATACTAACACATCTGTTGTTCAACTTACACCGTACATTGAATCCCATTAATTTTTTCATATTGAGCTCTCAATTATTTTTAATTTTTAAATACTATGATGAGTAAGTAACAGAACGGAAGTAATTAAACGACATTGTTTCTATTGTAATATGAGTCATCCATTTCTTTTCTTTTTTTTTTAGATATTTTCACATTTTCTAATTTTTTTCTTTTATTGACCTCAACATAATAAAACTATGTTCAAGTTTAAACTTGGACATAAACAGCCTGAAGAGAACGAAACTCGTCGACGACTTCAAAAGGAATTATTCGGATTAAATAAAGTATGCATACGATTAGTTTTTATTCTTATTCAAAAATGATTTGCTGTTCTAGATTTGTGTACGTGGTTTTCCTTCACGACCATCATCGCTTGCATATGATGCTCAATTGAAATTAATTGCTATTGGAACACATGCGGGTGAAATTCGAATGTAAGTCTTTTTATGATGAAAGACCAAACCATCATTTACTATTACTATTTGTTTTAGTTATGGTCAACCGAATTTTCAATTATCATATAGTCTTGACCCTAATCAATCATCATCAATTCGTAAATTAATATTTCTTGATGGTGTAGGACGACTTCTTGTCTTAACTGTTGATGGTTATTTACATTTACTTGAAATAAATAATTATAATCCATCGATAAATGATTTTTCATCAAATAGTACAGTACGAATTGATCGTACTGGTACGTCAAGTGAAGATGATTCAATCGTACTTAAAAATACACAAACAATATGTTTACTAAGAAACCATTCGAGTCTATTAATTGGTCTCAATGATGGAAATATTCATTCATTTAATATTGAAAATTTTTCACTTAATACTGATCCAATTATTTCAACTGATATTATTGAAAGAACGTAAGAAATTGAAAATAGTAGTATTTTCAGCATCTTCTTTCAGTTAGATGTTTTGTTTAATAATTCGTTACTTTTTTCTAACAAAAATGCTTGAATAAAGCAGCAAATCCTGCGGACATCCGTTATGGGTCATTTCGAATTACTCTTTGCTAATAAATTGAACTAAATGTCTCCTTTATGAAAGTTCATTTTGTTTTGTTGGAGGATCTTTTTTTTCCTGATTATTGACTAATTCATTTATATTTACTTTAGAATCGTTGAATACTGTAGTGGTCGTATAATTCATCCAGGTCCCGTACAATCAATTATTCAACATCCAATTAACGAAGATAAAATATTAATTGGTTATAAAAATACTCTTATTGTTCATTGGGATTTACCGTCGAATAGTCATGATCGAACTTATATTTATAAACAAGTATTTTATCTTATTTTTTGGGAAAGAATCTATTATCATTTTTTTTCTCTTGCAGGAAGTCGAATCTGTTTGTTGGTATAATAAAGGTATGAACTTTGCTACATGCCATAATAATGGAAGTTACGCATTATGGGATGCAAAACAACAATTGAACATAGTTGAAACAGAAAAAATTCCCTATGGACCTTATCCGTGTACACCAATGACTAAGATTTGTGTAAAAACTTTACGAAAGTAAGTGAAGGATTATTGTTTATTGTTACCTAGTCTATAACAATTAGCTAGTTCAGATAATGGCAGTATAGAATTTACTTAGTCCTTTCAAAATAATTTAACAGAGAAATAAATTTCTCTGGTAGCTGCAAATCATTTGATGAACAGGTTATTCTCTAAAATTGCATCACAATTAGCTTACACTGGTTTTCAATTCATTATTGTTATGCAACTGACATTGAAAGATACGCTTATTTTACTAATCAAAACCTTTCCTATCGAATGAGTTCTAACCTTTCATGTCATATTATCCAGTTGACACTTATAGCATGTATGAAGACAAATAGATTTTATATCACACATTGAACAGCCAATATAAATGGTGAGCAGTACTAAAAATCAGTCTGCTTTATAGTACGAGGTTTTTTACTACACAATGACATTTAAACTATTATTACAGTTGATATTAAAATTTGTATATGTTCAAAGATATTTCTCGTGAAACTGTATAACATGATA